CTCACTGAAACACACAACAAACAATATATCATGACTTAATATGACTAAAAGACTAAATTTCAGAACTAGATTTCTTATTGAGACATGTTGGTTGTTCTGGAGTCAGTCATCTTTGAGTGTCTCTTGCTGACTCATGTGTACTTCTGAGAGTCTACAAGCATCTATTATACATGTTTTAGGGGGTAGTGTTAAGATGGAGGTGCTTAAACAAATCATGCAAATGTGGTACAGAGTTTAAAGAACCTGTCCAGACTCTGACCAGACAAGTTTCACCTGCCCGAATCTAATTAACAAATCTACCAGTAACTTGAGATCCCAAGTAAATAACTTGTGAGAGTGGCAGGAAAATTATAGAAATTGAGACATTGGTTCGCTACAAGACATCGAGTTGTGCATAATTCAACAAGCTAACAAGATTGATCTGTTTCTTCACATGTGTTGTTTTTGGAGTATGAGCTGATAAATTCAGGCAGAAGATACAGGGTCCTGTTATGCACGTATAATAGATTAAATTAAATAGATCAATGAGTAATTATGGTAGAATTACATTAAAAGAATAAGATAACTGCATTGGTTAGTATAACAGAGAGCAGTGGGTGCACAGTGTATTATAAATTATTATTTTAATGGAACTTTTTTATATTAGAATGTATTAAAGGATTCGGATTTCAATGTGTGTGTTATATGTGTATGTTATATGTGTGTGTTATATGTTGTCTTGGAGGTGTCTATGTACAGCAGAACTTTTGTCTAAATTAAATCTCTCCTAAGGGAGACAATAAATTTTACTCTCACCTTGAGTTTTTGGGACTGAATGGATCCACAAGACAATATTACAAGAGTAATATTTAAACCTTTAAAACTTCAGAGTTTGACAAATGTAAAGGCCTTTTAGAACAATAGTGAAATGTAAAGTTTCAGGACAGGAGCGGTAGGAGACTACATGTCACTAAATGTGAAAGAATCCCGTAGTATTCATGTTTTTAAAAAGCGTGTTAAGACGCATCTTTTTAAAATTGTGTATGAATACACAAGCTTTTAAGGTGTATGCATTTTATCCATATTGTTGTAGGTTTATGTGTGGTGTGTGCTTGCATATATAAGGACGATTGTGTGCGTGATCATGTGGATATATGCTTATATTTTATTTACATGAATGCTTTTATCTGAGTATATGTGACAAGTTTATGTGGTCTATTTTAGTGGGGGTTTTTTGTTGTTGTTTGTGTGTCACTTTGAGTTGCATGTATGTTGGAAAAGTGCTGTACAAATAAAATGTATTTTATTATATTATTATTATTATTAAATAAATAGGAAAACAAAGTAAGAAATCACTTAAATTCTTCCTTGTGAATTAAAAAGTAATACACCACTTAACTAGGATTTAAACCATCACCAATTGACACACAGTCTTGTTTATAATTCTTTCTTCTTTGGCTCTCGGCGAAGGCGGTCGCTCTTCTTCCCGCTCCGTCCCATATCTCTCCTTGCTAGCACCTCTTGTCTCGTCTTATTCTATCTCTGAGGCTCTCCTGCTTTCCAAACGAAAAAGGAATTATGGATTTTAACAACTGGTCTCTGAATGCAATTGACACCATCTTGATAACAGGGTTTCTGCTGATGGGCTTATGCGGGGCTCTGGGATATTGGAAACTGACAAAAGCGGTCAGCGCAGCTCAAAACCCTACCAGGCTGGCCGGCTTGATTGAAACACTGATGGGTAGGGTCGCGAATCAGACTATGGTCCTTGACCGCAAATTGGAAACCATCGAGGTGAAGCTTGCAGCTCTGCAACAAATTTTGGCCAGATCGGGAGACGAGTGATGGACATTAAATATCTGTGAAATTGGTAGATATTGACCTAAAGTTGAAGTATCTTCTCTTACTCCTGCCAGACGGCTTTGGTTGGAAGTAAACAACTCCCTGGGATAAGCAAGATAAGCAGACGCTCTGAAATTCCTGCCCCTGTACCACCGATCCCCATCCAAACGTCTTCGTGTGCTTTTACCCACGTGGGGCGTGGGCGGGGCTGTGACTTGCGCCGGAAATGGCTGCTGGACCAGCTGGCTGCCTGCACTCAACGGACTGTTTTCCATTACCCCTGTTCCCATCCCCTCTGTCTATGTTGTGTCTTGCCGGTGTGCTTATGCTAAGATAGGGCTGTTTTTCTCCCTTTTCTCACTTTGTCCTAATCAAGGGCAGGCTGAGGGGGTGTTTTTTTGTGCCTAACTCTACAAATGTTTATTTCTTCGTTTCTAAATGCTGCCTCCTATGATCTGTCTCCCCTGAAAAGTGTGATGTTTTGTGTATGGTCTGGGGGGTCCAATTTTGCTATACGAAAGTGTAGTGACAAATAAAGGCTTGATTGATTTGATTTTTGACCAAACACAGTTTTCATCTTAATCATCTTGATAAAGACTTACTTAATGGAGGCTCTAGTTCTTTGCTGCTACTTCTCTTGTGAGCAGAACCACGAACAACGGCTATAAAACATTGAATTGAGAACATGTCAGGAAAATTATGAATGAAATTATGAAAAATTATGAATAAAATGTTACTACAGTATATAATACATCACACTTATATTTCTGTGTTTAGCAGATGCTTTTATCACACTTACAACATTGTAAACAAATAAAAAAAGTAACAGCAGTAACTCAAACCACCTAAAGTTTTATTAAAATGCATTATTCAGAAATAATGAATTATTCAGACATCTTTACTCATAGGACTGGTCAACACACACTGTAGTTATTAGTTTTGAACTGTAGGAAAGATGTTTGATCAGATGTGTCTGAATAATCTCTGACCTCTGCTCTCTCTGCTGCTCATGTTGATCTTCTGCTCTTCATCAGCTGATCATCATCTCTGTTCATTTCTGATGTTGCTGATCTTCATGTTATTATGCTGCTCATGTTGATCTGCTTCTCTTTCTTCAGTTCATCATCATCTTCCTCCTCCTCCTGATGTGTGTCTCTTCATTCTCCTGTCAGGGATCACACAGACTTTACTACATTAACTATATAGATTTATTAAATATTTTAATATTCTGTAATAATAATGTTTTGAATAAAAGTTTTTTTCCTCAAGTATTTAATAGCTAAGTGCTGAAATGTTTGTGTGTTGTTGTATTTGAGCATTGTTGACACTGATTTACCCTGAATACATGACATTATTAACATCTCCTATTTAGTGATTTAATCAAACACTGCTTTATTTAAATGGTTCGTGTTGCTGAAAATAAGCACCAGTACAACAAAACTCAAGTTCAACAATTTAAAACAGAATAAACATTCAGATATAGAAAACGAACCATTTTGTTTTGGGTTCTCAGTCGTCTCTATGTGAAAGTGAAACCAACTGTTTCTGCATGCTGTACAACTACACACTGAATATGAAGAATATTATAAATATAAAGAATATTACAATACATGTATGCATGTATTTGCGCATGATTTCACTGAAATTGTATTTAAAGCAAACGTGATACCTGCATGTTGACGTTTTTCTTTTCCTCCAAACAAGGAAGAAACCTGCGTGTGGGCGGAGTTTGTGACGTCATTCTCCTGACAGTGCTCAGCGTCTCTCACAGCTCCCTCTGCTGCTGGCAATAATCACTACAGGATCTGTTCATCTGCAGGTCAGAGCTCCAGAGACATGTTCATTTTAATGAGTGTAACTCTAATTAGGTTAACGTTGAGCATTAAGTTATAACTGCTTTGAAACAAACACTTAACCCCTAAATAAACGGATTAGTCAATATATTGGATATATTGCCACCTATTAACTTCTCTTTTTTTAAATATAAATAAACAGATAAATGTGCTCCTTCTGCTCTCTGGCAAAGGTATGAACATGTCATAATATAACCCTATGCACCTTCAGTGTTGTGTATTTGGAGTGTTCTAGAACATTACATTAGGGTTTGGCTTGAAACATATTGTAAATGTTTATTGTCTAGTGAAAGTCTCGTCCTCGATCACTGAAACCCTCCAGACCTTGATGTTTATAATATCCAAAACCTGATAACATACATAACTGCAGATGAGAATGTGAAATAACACTTATACATTACATCACATAAGAAACACATAAACCCATTGGTTGCACAGGTGTGTGTGTGTGTGTGTGTGTGTGTGTGTGTGTGTGTGTGTGTGTGTGTGTGTGTGTGTTTAGGTTAATAATGTAGTAGTGAGCTCCTCTACTGGTGAACTGCTGAAACTGCAGAAAATAATCCACAATTACTGAAAACACTGAGATTTATCAAGATTTACCCTCAATGGAGGCAAATTTCCTTCTATTGCACATTTCATACACATGGTGATGCAAAGTGATTTACAAAAAACAAGAAAAAAGAAACATGAAATACAACAAGTATAAAAAATAAAGAATTTAAATGATTAAAAACAGATTATAAAGTGTTTACACAGGTTTAAAGGGAATAAAAGACTAATAATCTGAATAATCTAACATTGCATGATGCATTTATTTTACTCTCATTACTTCACAATAAACAAATGAATAAAATACTCATTCAGTCATTTTCATTTCGGCTTAGTCTCTTTATTAATCAGGGGTCACCCCAGCGGAATGAACCACCAACTTATCCAGCATAAATTTAATACAGCAGATGCCCTTCCAGCTGGATCCCAGTACTGGGAAACATCCACATGCGCACACACACACACACACACTCTCATTCATGCATTTTCTTTTCACCTTAGTGCCTTTATTAATCCCGGGTCGCCACAGTGAAATGAACCACCAACTTATCCAGCACTTTTTTTCTGGGAAACATCCACACACACACATTCACACACATACACCATGGACAATTTAGCCTACCCAGTTCCCCTATAGCACATGTGTTTGGACTGTGGGGGAAACCGGAGCACCCGGAGGAAACCCACGCCAACATGGGGAGAACATGCAAACTCCACACAGAAACACCAAATGACCCAGCTGAGGCTCGAACCAGCAACCCTCTTGCTGTGAGGCGACAGCACTTCCTACTGCGCCACAGCGTCACCTCCACACACTCATTCACTTGAGCCAGTTTAGTACATCAGATCCCCTAAAGCGCAGGTGTTTGGACTGTGGGGGATTTACAAATGAAGATAAAGCAGCGCTTCAGATCAGCAGAGAGCAGCAGGATTAGTTAATCACACTGTTTTACAGAAAGATGAAGTATTGATAAGAGAGTGTCTGGTGCATATGAAAACAACAAATATACTGTGATAGGACAGAGCAGTGTCTGAGTTCAACTTATTAATGTGTGTTGTGTTTTAATTGATGTTAGATGAAACTGAGGCCTCGAGTCCTCCTCAGTCACCTGCTCTCTGTTATTCACTCCATCACTGTGTCAAACAATCAAAAGACGATCAACTACACACACAGTTTTGGCTTTGTTTTCTCACTCGATCTTCACCCTTGATTCTCTCCTCTATATCATTTACAGCTTGCATTTCTTTTCTAACCCTCTCCTTAGTATTTTTTTTCTCTCTCTCAATCTCCTTTTGTCTTTGTTTCTCTCGTCTTCTCTGTTCTTCCTCACTCGGTCTCTCTGCTTTAAGATTTTTAGCTTCCATTTCTGCTCTGACTCTCTCCTCTGTCTCCTTTCTCACTCTTTTAATCTCCTCTTGTATTTGTTTCTCCTCTTGTAGTTTTCTCTCCTCTTCTTCTCTCTGTCTCTGCTCTTCTTCCTCTCGTCTGAATCTCTGAGCGTCTTCAAACATCTGGTTAGTGTAGTGTCCTCCTCCATTCTGCTGTATCATTAACTCAGTCTTCTGCAGTAGATCCTCCACCTGCTCTCTGTTCTCCTCATCTCTGTTGTTGAACACATGATATCTGCCTCCACACTGCTGGACTACAGATCTTAATCCACTGTTCTCCTCTATCAGCTTCTCTACAGGCTCTCCATCCAGCAGATCTCCATGAGTGAAGAGAATGATGGAGTATTTCAACACTTCTTCACCAAACATCAGCTCAATCTTCTGAAGAATCTGCAGCTCCCGTTCAGTGAATCTCATGTTGACAGGAAACACAATGAGGAAAGCGTGAGGTCCAGGACTGGAGATATACACACTTCTGGCGATCTCCATCATTAACTCTTCAGGATTCATCTGTGTGTCGAATAATGGAGGAGTGTCGACTACAGATACAGATCTGCCTGAAACTGTGGTCTGAGCTGCTGAAGATTTACAGGTTACTGAACTCATCCTCCTCACAGATCTGAACTCTTTCTGTCCCAGGATTGTGTTTCCAGCTGCACTTTTACCAACACCAGATTTACCCACAAGAACAATCCGTCTGGAGGGAGGACTGGAGACACGAGGGACTGGCTCAATATTTGCTGGTATTTTTCTCAATAGATTCTCTGCTCCTGCTGAATAAAAGAAATAAAACAGAAACTGAACACCATTTTTAATCTTCAGTCACTGCAAATAATGCTCATAAAATGTGACCAGATGAAATATTTTAAACACTTACCCGCTGTGTCAGAGTAATTCTTCAGTATTTTTGTGAAGAGCGCCTTTACTTGTACACTCGTCCTTTTCATCTTCCTCTTGTTGTTGAACAGATGGTATCGGTGCTCATATTTCTGCACGAGTGTCTTCAGTTCTTCAGTCTCCTCTATGAACTCCTGTATTGTCGTGTTTTCTTCCTCCAGTTCGTCTCCTCCAGTGAACAGAATCCAGGTGTTTTTCTGGTGTTTTTCTCCCAGGATCTTCTCAATCTTCTCCACAGTTTTTCTCTCTTCTTCAGTGAATCTGTCAGCTCTGATGACCAGCAGAAACACACACAGACCTGATGAACATTTCTGGAGGACCTTCTCACTGATCATCTGCTGAATCTCTTCATCCCTCAGCTTTGTGTCAAACAATCCTGGAGTGTCGTAAACAGTGACTGGTAGTTCACAGAATGATCCAGACTCCACATTGACGTCTCGTGTGACTGGTCTGGCACTTTTCTTGGAGATGAAAACTTGTCTTCCCAGGATTGTGTTTCCTGATGCACTTTTCCCTGCTCCTCTTTTTCCCAGCAGGACCACATTCAGATCTAGAAATAAATAACAGCAACATGTGTAAAACTAGACAAATACAGCTCACCATGGTAAAAAAAAACTTAAAAGCAGTAAAAAAAGTAAAATCTTTTAAATAAAGCTGGTGCAAGAGCCATTATTTAATTTAATATAATTTATTAATAGTGCTCAAATTCATGTAGAGTTTCATTCATTCATTAATTTTCTTTTTGGCTTAGACCCTTTATCAATCTGGGGTCACCACAGCGAAATGAACTGCCAACTTATCCAGCATATGTTTTATACATAGCTGCAACCCGTCACTGGGAAACACCCATACACACTCATTAACACACATTCACACTCATACACTACGGTCAATTTTGGCATACCCAATTCACTTGTACCACATGTGTTTGGACTGTGGGGGAAACCAGAGCACATGGAGGAAACCCACGTCAACAATGGGAGAACATGCAAACTCCACACATGCAAACATGCAAACACCAATCGACCAAGCCGAGGCTCGAATCAGTGACCTTCTTGCTGTGAGGTGAACGTGCTACCCACTGCGCCACCGCGCCGCCCCATGTCACCCTTTGTTTGTAATGGTTTGCTCTGCCCTTATTGGACTGATTTAAGTTATACTACATCATAGGAAAGTGAAAGAAAGATGGAGCAACACAGTCTTGTTTTGATGCTTGAAAATTCAGTAAACATCTTTAAATGTAAAGGAAACTCGAGTCAATTTATTTCCCGACTGTTTTTACAATTCTGACAGTACAGCTGGCATATATAATTATTAGGCCTCCTGATTTATTAGCTCATCTCTAATAACTGATTTATTTTCTCTTTGCCATGATGACAGTAAATAATATTAGACTAGATATTCTTCAAGACACTTCTATACAGCTTAAAGTGACATTTAAAGGCTTCACTAGGGTAATTAGGTTAATTAGGCAGGTTAGGGCAATTAGGCAAGTTATTGTATAACAGTGGTTTGTTCTGTAGACCAGGAGTTCTCAACTGGTGGGCCGCGGCCCACTAGTGGGCCTCAACAATCCTGCGGATGCCCTTCCAGCTGCAACCCATCACTGGGAATCATCCATACACATTTATTCACTCATACACTACTGACAATTTAACTTACCCAATTCCCCTGTAGCGCATGTGTGTGGACTGTGGGGGAAACCGGAGCACCCGGAGGAAACCCACACCAACACGGGGAGAACATGCAAACTCCACACAGAGACTGAGAGATTAACTCTCAGTATTATACTATAATGTTTGGATTGCATTATTAATATGCTATATCAAAATGATGAAAGTAAAGCACTTTCTCCAGTTCTTTGATTACTTCAAACTCCTCATGATCACGTCTGCAACTAGCCTGCGCAAGACTGTTCATTCACAAACTGCGTAAACGTGAACGTCTCTCTGTGTTTTCTTGTGTGAACTATTTAAGATAACCAGATGGTTATCCAAATTAATGTTCTGTGTTTTATAACAGACGTGCCCCCATACAGGAGGATCTAGCGAAGCTTAATGGTGTTTCTGTCATAGCCTGTAAAATGAACTTTCATATGTGTTTCAGACGTGCTCTGGTGGAGCTGTTCACTGTTCCTGTCAGCAATCTTCAAATAAAATCCAGCTGCAAACTCAACCGCCATCAGATCAATGCATTTCCACAGATTAAGGGTGTTTTACTGTATTTTACACTTGTCTGTATATTTTTTATATATTTAATAGATTTTCAGTCAGTCCAGTTTAAAGCAAAATCTGGTATTTTGCAATCTCCCTGTTGACCTGTGGTTAACTTTGAATATGTATATATGTGTTGTGTGTGTGTGTGTGTGTGTGTGTGTTGAAGTAAGAATTATTCGCCCCCCTTTGATTTTTTTTTCCTTGTTTAAATATTATAAAATATATATATATATAAAAACTAATATATAAAATATTAGTCTATATAAGTAGACTATTCAAAATAAAAAATATTTTATTTAAAACCTTTTCATTTAATTAGGTAATTACATACACAAATATAAATGGACTCATAGAACCCTTAAAGGACGTTCAAAAAGCAACCAGAATTATAAATATAAATGTATACTCAAACTAAACTCCTCTTCTATTGCAAATGTTAATGTAGCTTATAGTCTTCTTGTTTTGTTTTTTACATTTTTATAATTATTATGCTTTTTATATGTTTTTACAATGTGGGTGTCAAAATTGCAAGATTTTGTTATCATTTTGATTGTTATTTATTCACCAAATAAAAAAAATTATAATAAAAAAATTTTTAAAAACGCTGATTAAAAGTCTCTGCTCATCATGTTGGTCAAGTTAACCTCCATGGAAAAGCTATATATATTATCTGGACACTCCTTTTGTGTTTAATAACTACTACTTATATTTTTACAGCAGCTGGCATCCAGCATTTTGGTGCATTAGCCTGTTTATTGGTGACAGGAAAACCCACTTAAGTGCATTCCTGCCCCCTACTGGACATAAGTGTGTATCATAACCCTTGACGAATAGTGACACCAATAATAAAACAAACATAAAAAACTAATATTAGACAAACATATTTTATTCAAAATGATTACTTTAGCAACTTTATATTTATTAAACCATAATAACATTTCCAATAATTTAATTGCATAATAAACCTTTAATTTTGCAGGAGCATTCCTTTAGCATTATCTTTTTATTTATTTATTTTTTAGAATTAGCATAATCTATTTTCATATATCAACAGATGTAATTCCTCTATTAATCACATTATTTCTGTTTCTTAAGGTTTGCAATAACCTGATTCATGACAAATAATAAACTTGTTCATTACACTCAAAGGACTTTTAGGTTGAAATTAAACTACTTCCTTTTAAAGTGAAATAACTTTCTTTTACTGTGAAAATTCATGCATACACACATCTGAAATCACTTGCATATATGTACATACACAACTAACTGTATATATGTTTGTGAATCTTATTTTGTATGTTTGCACAAGTGTCATTTGGGTGTTTATGCACACATCAAGTTTATATTCTTATGTAAGAGTTTATGGGTGTATATGCATAGATCGAGTTTATATGTATATGCGAGTGTGTATACAGTAGGTGTGTTCCCCTTCGGGGAGAACTCCAGCACTATAAGTGGATTGATTTACTAATCCACGTATGGGAGATTCGGTTCAGAAGCTACTCGTCTGAAAGAGTATTGAACGGGCCAATTAAGAATGAATTGGCAGCACAAGCCTGCGCAGGTGTGCTGCATATGCAATCAACTGAGTATATAAGCACACCTGGCGCCAGCAGACGCTATCCTTTTCGCTTCAGAGACTTTTCTGATCGAGCTTCATGAGGGTTCCTCTTACTGTCTACAGCCACTTCGAGCGAACGATTGCATTCCGGTCCAGAGCGAGTCCACGCAGCGGCAGATGGTCGAGCTGGGTATCTCCCTTGCCTGGCGTCCCTTTGGGTCCGGTCCTCCATGAGCGGTGCGTATTGCTGACAAAGCATCCTAAAAGAGCAACACAGTCGTGCAGCACGTCCTTTTCAGGATGGCGCTCCGACTGTGCGTTTCTGGTTGCGGGGGTTTCCTGGCTCCGGATGATGGGCACGATCACTGCATTACATGTTTGGGGGTCCAGCATGTCAATGTGGTGCTCGGGGGCGGTTCATGTCGTCACTGCGATGCCATGACCGTTGTGCAGTTGAGATCGCGGTTAGCTTTCGTAAGAGAGCGAGCCACCCCAGTCGCCTCCTGCTCTGCAGCGGGCGCTCGGGCAGATCTGAGGGCTTTAGCGAGAGATAATCCGCCGCCCAAGGGCTCGCGGACCTCTCGCTCCTCCAAGCGCTCCATCCAAGCTTCTGGTACTGGGAGTGATCCGTCTAATCAGATGTTAGCTCTCACGCTCGCTGACACCGGAGATCAGATGTCCTCCGCGGCATCGGAGGGTGGGCTTTCATTGTCCGACGATGATCCGGACCCGCTCGCCCCCTCTGGGCAAGCGCCATCAAAACGGATCCTGAAGCGGACATGTTGGCCGTGCTTTCTCGGGCTGCTTCGGCCGTCGGGTTGGAGATGGTTCATCCCCCAGCCCCGCGGCCGGACCGACAAGATGGGTGTTACGTAGAGGATCAAAAGGCGAAGCCTTCGAAGCCTCTCGTCCCCTTCTTCCCGGAAGTGCACAGTAGGCTCACGCAGTCCTGGAGGGCACCTTTCTCTGCCCGCGCTGCGTCCGCCTCCGCCCTCACCACCCTGGATGGTGGAGCTGCCAGGGGGTATGAGGCGATCCCGCAGGTGGAGCGCGCCATTGCGGTCAATCTTTGTCCGCGTGACGCCCCCGCTTTGCGTGGTCTGCCCCGTCTCACGTCCAAAGCCTGTAGGTTATCTGCCTCCCTCGGAGCTAGAGCTTACAAGGCTGCGGGCCAGGCAGCTTCCGCCTTGCATGTGATGGCCACCAACCAGCGCTACTAAGCGCAGGCGCTGGCCGAGCTGCACGAGGGTGGGTCTAACCCAGGCTTGTTACACGAGCTGCGCACGGCGACCGACTATGCTCTCCGGACCACTAAGTCCGCCGCGTGCGCACTGGGGAAGACGAAGTCCACACTTGTGGTCCAGGAACGCCACCTCTGGCTGACCCTGGCAGATATGCGCGACGTTGACAAAGTTCGCTTTCTTGACTCGCCCATATCCCAGGCTGGCCTGTTCGGCGACACCGTCGGTGAATTGACCCAGGAGTTCAAGGCAGTGAAGGAGCAGTCGGATGCGATGGGCAAAGTCATCTATCGGCGGGGCCGTAAGCCCGCTCCATCCCCGGCCGAGCCATCCACCTCCGATGCTCCTCGCCGAGGGCGCCCGCCAACGGCCGATGCCCCGCCCCCGCCTCCGGCGAAGCGGGTGCGTCGAGCACGCCGAAAGCCGGTAGCCCCTCCTGCCCAGGGCGCCGCTAAGTCCGGTAAACGGACCGCGAAGCGTCCCTGAGACAGGCCATCCGGAGAAGAGGAGATTTGCTCTTTCCCCGTTGGAGGGCGGGGCCCATATTCAAACAACGGTACTTTTCAGTGCCACCAAAGTTTCGATCAAAGAGCATTTTTCCCCTTCCCCGGATGTGACAGCTCAAGCCCTGCCAGTCTGGGACGTGCTACCTCTCAGCTCGCAGGGTTTGCATGCTCCACCAGCGGCTCTTGGGCGCTGGGGGGACGGTCTCCCTTCTTCCAGCCCCCAAGCCCCCTCTCAGGAGTCAGGGTGCGGAGCCAGAGCGAATCGCTCTCCTCCAGCTCTTCTGCGGGACCCTCGCGCTCCCCGGATCAGCACATCCGCTCCGCGCTGCCCCTCCGCGGGTACGTCAACGATTGCTGCGATGACGTCATTAGCGAGGGCTCTGCCCTCTGCCCTCCGGTACCTCCAGCCGAGATGGAGAGCGGGTTTTACAGCCCGTACTTCATCGTACCCAAAAAGAGCGGTGGGTCACGGCCAATCCTAGATCTGCGCGTTTTGAATCGCTGCCTTCACAAGCTGTCGTTCAGAATGCTTACGCAGAGGCGCATCTTCCGGTGCATTCGTCCTCAGGATTGGTTTGCAGCCATAGACCTGAAGGACGCGTATTTTCATGTCTCCATTCTTCCACGCCACCGTCAGTTTCTGCAGTTTGCGTTCGAAGGTCGAGCATGGCAGTACAAGGTCCTCCCCTTCGGGCTCTCTCTGTCTCCGCGGGTCTTCACCAAACTCGTGGAGGGTGCCCTAGCGCCTCTGCGGCTTGCGGGCATCCGCGTACTCAATTATCTCGACGACTGGCTGATTTTAGCCCACTCTCGGGAGCAATTGACTGCGCACAGAGACGAGGTGCTCCGGCATCTCCGCCTACTGGGGTTGCAGGTCAACTGGGAAAAGAGCAAACTCGCCCCGGTGCAGAGGATCTCTTTTCTTGGGATGGAGCTGGACTCGGTCACAATGGTAGCGCGCCTCTCCGGAGAGCGCGCTCGCCTGCTGCTGAACTGTCTGAGGGAGCTCGACAGCAAGTTAGTGGTCCCACTGAAATATTTTCAGAGGCTCCTGGGGCATATGGCTTCCGCTGCGGCTGTCACGCCGCTCGGATTGCTCCATATGAGACCACTTCAGCACTGGCTTCAAGATCGAGTTCCGAGACGCGCATGGCATGCGGGCACACACCGAGTCTCTGTTACTGCGCTGTGTCGCCGCACCCTCAGCCCCTGGAACGACCCCTCGTTCCTGCAGGCCGGTGTGCCTCTGGGACAGGCGTCCAGTCATGTTGTTGTTTCGACAGATGCTTCCAGCAAAGGCTGGGGAGCCGTGTGTCGCGGGCATGCAGCTGCGGGCCTGTGGGTAGGTGCCCAGCTGCATTGTCAATCGCCTAGAGCTGTTGGCAGTGTTTCTTGCTCTCCACCGTTTTTCTCCGGTGCTGGAGCAGCAACACGTGCTGGTCAGGACGGACAGTACGGCGGCGGCGGCGTATATCAACCACATGGGGGGTATGCGCTCTCGCCGCATGTCTCAGCTCGCCCGCCGTCTGCTCCTCTGGAGTCACCCGCGGCTGAAGTCGCTGCGCGCCATTCACATCCCAGGTATGCTCAACCGTGCAGCCGATGTGCTCTCACGGCAGCAGATTCACTCTGGAGAATGGAGACTCCACCCCGAGTCTGTCCAGCTGATATGGGCGCGATTCGGGGATTCCCAGATCGATCTGTTTGCTTCCTCCGAGAACGCTCATTGCCAGTTGTTTTATTCCCTGACCGAGGGCTCTCTCGGCACGGATGCACTGGCCCACAGCTGGCCTCGGGGCATACGCAAGTATGCGTTTCCCCCAGTGAGCCTGATCGCGCAGTTAATGTGCAAGGTCAGGGAGGACGAGGAACAGGTTCTGTTAGTTGCGCCCCTCTGGCCCAACCGGACCTGGATATCAGAGCTCTCCCTCTTTGCGACGGCGCTCCTTTGGCAGAACCCTTTGAGAGAAGACCTACTTTCTCAGGGACAAGGCACCGTCTGGCACCCTCGTCCCGATCTCTGGAACCTCCACGTGTGGTCCATAGACGCGAGGAAGACTTAGGTAACCTGCCGCTGAGGAGTCACTTGCTGGCCCATTACGTTGTAGGTCTGCCCGCTGGTCAGCCCGCGTTTTTGGGTATAGGTGCCTGCTATGGCCGATCCCCGCTGGTGATCCCCATATGCTTTTCCGCCACGGTTAAGTTCCCCCCCCCTGGGTGGACCCGTGCTTTCCCTATCTGCTAACCACCTTCTTATGCGCACTCCCCCTTCTCAGGGTTAGTCCATATGTAATTCCATTTGTTTCCCCCTATTGGGTGCGGATGTTCTCCGCAGCGTCCTCCCTACTGGGATGGCACACTTCGCAACGTACTGTCGTATATTCCTAGAATTATCTAGACGCTAATGACTCCCAAAAAAATATACCTATTCCGTAAAGCTTCTTTTGAAGTGGGATAAGTTAGGGCCAAGGGCACGTTGGAGGACCACGCCTCTCATGATCTGGGTGCGTCACGCTTGCCTGACCGCTCTCTCATGTTGGGTGTTGGTAAGGGGCAGTCATTATGGCGCTTTCAATGGGCTCCCATACGTGGATTAGTAAATCAATCCACTTATAGTGCTGGAGTTCCCCCCCCAGGGGAACGTTCGAGGTTACTAAAGTAACCCTTCATTCCCCGAGGAGGGGAACAGAAGCACTATACTCCGTCGCCATAATGACTGTCCCTTAGCTGTTAAAAGTCTCTTCAGCTTAAAAAGGATAGCGTCTGCTGGCGCCAGGTGAGCTTATATACTCAGTTGATTGCTTATGCCGCACACCTGCGCAGGCTTGCGCTGCCAATTCATTCTTAATTGGCCCGTTCAATACTCTTTCAGACGAGTAGCTTCTGAACCGAATCTCCCATACGTGGATTAGTAAATCAATCCACTTATAGTGCTGGAGTTCCCCGAAGGGTTACTTTAGTAACCTCGAACGTTTGCATGCAGCAAGTTTATATGTATGTGCGTGTGTTAATGTGGGTGTTTATGTGAGGATCGAGTTTATATGTATGTGTGTGTGTATGTGGGTGTATTCATGCGTCAAGTTTATATGTATATACACAAGTTTCATCCATGTTGTTTTGAACATTCAGTAGTATAGGTGTATATGCAAGTAATTTATAGGTGTATATACACGTGTTTTATGTATGTGTTGATAAGCAAAGTTTGATTTAAATCCTATACGGCACCTCATACTTCTGGAGAAAGTCTTATTTGTTTTATTTCAGCTAGAATAAAAGCAGTTTTTGACTTTCTCCAGAAGAAAAAATATTAAAGGAAATACTGTGGAAAATTCCTGAATCTGTCCAACATCATGTGGGAAATATATTGTTTTTAACGGAATGCTAATTTTCAGAGGAATGCTAATTTGCAATCTACATGTTCTTAATTCACTATAACAGTGTTTACTGCAGGGTTTCTCAGATCAACATTGATTAACATGTACTTGCTAGGTGTGTAACAGGTCACGATTGATCCGTAATTCGTATGGATCACAACACACAGTTCAGAAACACATGTGACCCACAAAATTTTAAACTCATAGGTTAATCCAACACTTATAACAATCACAGAGAGATCGCCTCCTGCGTCATTCACATCACGTGTGCGAAAGCATTTAGGCTTCCCTGTAAAATACAATGATGATAGAAAAAGTTGTAGTGGACCTAAATGCTTTCTTGGGTTATTAATTAAGGGGGAAGGAGAGAGTGTAGAATTAGTGAGCAGCCAAACGCTGAAGAGAGACTGGATGTAGGATTTAAGTAGAGCATAGATGTCAGAACAGGACTGATATGTGTATGAACAGCTGAACATCAGCTGCTGCAAGCTTGACTGATGTTGATGAGGCTCAGTGTTTCTCTGTTCTAACAAAGCAGATCCTGGTCTTGAATCCACACATGAGCAGATCAGTTCAGTCACATGTGTTTTAATGCCTTACCGGAAGAAGGTTGGGAGACTAATGTACTCTAAAGCTGATTTATCAAATACACATCCACCACAGGTAGAGGAATATACAATAAAAATACATGTTTGATATGATAACATATATTTAAAACAAAGCTTTATAGTTTAAATGAAACACACAAACATTCACTACTGATAATGTGCAGTATTATAAAATCATGTCTTACCTGCTGTCTGATCACTAACTGGATTTTGGAGTCTCGGGTGAAGTTTGGATTTCTGTTTCTCTTCTTCTCTCCTCAGTCGTTCCTCTAGTTTCTGTTTCTGCATTCGCTTCATCTGTTCTATCAGTTCATTCTCCTTCTGCTCCCGCCCTCTAATAAGTCTTTTATATCGCTCTTCTCTCTCTCTGAACTCTTCTTCTCTCCTCTTTCTCTCTTTCTCCTGCTTCTGTCGCTCTTCCTCCATCATCATCTTCATTCTGTCTTTTTCTTCTTCTAGTTTCTTCATCTCTTCTTCAGTTTCTCTGACTCTGTCCATCAGGATCTTCATCTGTTGTTCTTGTTTTTCTCTCTCCATCTCTCTGAACATCTTACATGAGTAGAAGCTTCCTCCGTTTGCCTTCACCATGTTGTCTATCTTCTCCAGTAGATCAGACACTTGTGTTCGCTCTTCAGGCTGATTATTGTTGAACACATGATATCTGTGTCCACAAGCTTCAATCAGGTTCATCAGAGGAGATCCAGGTTTACCCAGAAACTCTTCAATGGATTTATTCTTCAGATCATCTCCTCTGGTGAAAAGCACCATGGTGAACATTAGAGAGTTTTCCCCAAACGTCTCCTGGATGATCTTCACTGATGTTTCCTCCTCTTTAGTGAATCTCTGTCCTAAACTGAGCACGATGATGAACACGTGTGGTCCAGGCAGAATCATGGAGATGCAGTGTCTGATTTCTCTCTGGATCTCCTCTTCAGTGAGTTCAGTATCAAACACTCCTGGAGTGTCGATCACAGTGACCTGTCTGCCATTGATTTCACATGTCTCTCTCTGACTCTCTTTAGTCACTGATTGGTGAGATGTTTCTGCTGTAAATTTGGCTCTTCCTATGATTGTGTTTCCAGTCGCACTTTTCCCAACTCCAGTTTTGCCCAGAAGAACAATCCTCACTTCATCCTCTGTGTTTACTCTTGAACCTGGAATTTTACAAGATTAAATTATTGTTAGAATTGTTTATTAAAAACTGTAATGTAGCAGTTCTGTGATTGGCCAAAACGATTAGTTAGCGTGTCATCATCTACAATCTAATAATGATTTTTTGTACTTAAGTTTTTCATTTTGTATGTTTGTCCTTTTAAACATTGTGCAAATACACTCATCAGATTCTGACATTATAGTCATATAGGAGTGGTGAGCAGCAGCAGCAAATTTACAGTAGCATTTATGCAAATTCAGCAGGTGGTGAGGTGGGTTTCCTGTTTCTCCATCAGTCCTGGGTACTTCACAGGTTTCTCACAATAGGAACAGTCTCTAGTCACTTGCAGCTTCACCACGATGAACGCCCAGTGTTCTCCAGCCTTCACTTCCTAGACTGCAGCTCTGCACAAGAAGTTTGGCCAGAGGAGAAATGGAGCCCAGCTGGGCCTGGTTTCTGGTGAAGTTTGTAAGTTTGTCCCTGGCACCTGAGTTGCTTTTTTTGGTACTTGTGGATCTTGTGGGACATCGTTGGATTTGTTCTTGAGGGGTTTGGCTTTCGGCAGTGACATATATATCACACTGAACTGAACTAAATTAAACTTTAACTCTGAAAACTCCACTAAAGCAGTTTCAATTTACTAGAACTTGGATCTAGATGGAGCAGGAGTTAGTCTCTATGACGACGTTCCTCTCTACCAAATGCTCTCAGTCAATACTTTCCAGTCTAATTATTTTCTAGGGCAAAACAGTAGTCCCACTGAAACTATTTTAAAAGTTCCTGGGGCATAGGGCATCCACAGCCACTGTCACGTCGCTCACATTACTTTATACACAACCACTCCAGCATTGGATGCATGACAGAGTGTCATGATGGGCATGGCACCATGGTTCATACAGAGTGAACATCATTGCTGTGTGTTGCCATACGTTCTGCCCCTAATTAGACTTGGTCTTTGTACAAGTTGGTGAGTTGTGACAATGCATTCAGGACTGTGGGCAGATCATCAGCTGCATTGGCATATCAATTGACTAGAACTTTTGGCAGTACCAAATCCACTTGAATGCAATGGCAGTCATTTTGCATCAGTCCACACACCACTCAACAGCTTATTGGTGGAGAGGAGGCGGAGTGATGGAGCTAATTATGATGTAGGCATAGTTAGGAGGGCGCAATGAATAATAGCCAATGTACAAATTTGATTGGGATACTGTGTTTACACCCCTACTCTTTTCAAAGGATAGCCGGGGATACGTTTTAATAAGTAAAGACACTCAGGTGCTCGGTTTAACATCTCATCTGAAGGACGGTGCTTACTGAACAGTATAGAGTCCCCAACAATATACTGGGGCAACTACATTCTGGAAGACTTCACCCCTTGGTTCTGCAGACCCGTTCACTTCAGCTGAAACCACCCTTTGCCCATTGTTTTATTCCCTGATCAAAGCCTTGTTAAGCATGGAAGGACTGGCAAATGGCCAACCAGGGTCTGCACAAATAAGCGTATGTGCCCAAGGTTCCCACCACTCTGTTTTGAGATCAGGTGGTGAACCTGCACATGGTGTCCCACAAGGAGGCAGACGAAGCCCTTTTATTGGTTTGTCTTGCTTGCACTCGGCACATATGTGTGAACCACATACAGAATTTTAGAAACTCCAAGAAGCTCTTTGTCTGGTTTGGAGGTTGGAAGAAAACAAGTGTCTTCTTCAAAACGAATGTTGGTTCACTGGATAGTGGATGCCATTAAATTGGCATTCCAGTCACAAGGTTAACTGAGCCCCACAGGGATAAGAGCACACACTAGAATGAGTGTTGCCCCCTCCACATGGCTCCTCTCTTACAGACAACTTTAGCACTTGGAGGTGGAACATCTGCAAGATTTTACAATCTTCAAGTGGAGTCAGTTTCCTCCTGCATATATATGTACCAAAATAATGGAGATGAAAAAGAGCTCAGTTTGCCAATTTTCATAATACGATTTGGTCCCTGTGTATTTGATCTATGTTCAGGTAAGCCTATACATACATCTAACTACAGAAATAGAGTTTTGACAAAAGGATGATAGGGATAGGGAAGCCCTTATGCGTTTTTCCACAAGCATCTCCCCTCTGGGCAGACTGTGGTCTCTGCAGCATCCTTTCCCTTAATGACCGGAATGCTTTCACAACTTACTGTTGCAGTAATTGAAGGTTTCCGGCTAACTTGTGACTACCATTTTAATACATTTCTTATTTGGTAAAGGTGAGAATGTTACCCACTTTGCTACAACACTTGTTACTGGGTCAGTGCTATGGCACTTTTCATAGGGACCTCCGTCTCATCTGCCTCTTATGTAATGTGAAGAGGCTGACAGAAACATCTTGATTACGGATGTAACCCTTGTTAGGAAGGGAATGGAGATGTTTGTCTCTACGGCCATAACACTGAATTTCCAGCTGAATGCGAGGCATGAGCTGGCACTTCCGTAACAGTTTCATGACACACATGCCTCTAATAATAATAGATGGGAGAGGTTTCATTTTGAAAATTGAATTGCCAATTTTCATTGGTACATTTTGAACAAAAGTCAGACTGATGGGTCTCCTAAGTGGAATCCCCATCTTATCAGTCATCAATATAATGTAGCCATTCTCTTCTTCTGGGAACAAGGGTAAGTTTTGTAACCAAGACACTGTTCTGCTTAAAATACAAATGAATAAAACACAACTATGACTAAAACTCCAATTTTCTAGTTTTAAACTTTGTGAGTGATTTTTCTGCTCATTACCTTGTGATAGTACATGTGTCTCCAGTGAGTTTATTTTCTTCTTCATCTTCTCATATTTCACTAATTTACTCATCTGCGCCTCCAGGAATGTCTCTGTGGAGTAAACACCTCCTCTGTTTTCCTCCAGCATCTGCTCAATGTTCTCCATCAATGTGGACACTTGTGTTTCAGGACTGAAGTAATGATGTCTTCCTCCAAAACTCTGAATGACAGCCTGTGTTTCTTCATTGAGTTCTGCTGTCTGATGCTCTGAGTTCTGCATGATGAGGATCATGATGTGTTTGTTGATTCTGGAGCTGAAGATCTTCTGGATCTCCTCCATTTCTGCTCTGTCTTCATTATTGAGTGGAGCGTCAGGAATAATGAGGAGGAAAGCATGAACTCCAGGATGACAGAGAGACACACAGCGGAGAGTCTGACGCATCACTTCCTCCTCTGAGAGCCCAGTGTTGAACAGAGCTGGAAGCTCCAGCACATTGATCACGTCTGTCCTCACACTCTCTGATCTTCTGTGTGTGTGTTGCAGGATCAGCTCTGAGATGGAGGATTTCAGTGAGCCGTCGCTCCCGCACACCAACACATTCAGCTTCTCAGACACTGAAACAGAAGAAGATTGAAGCATTAGATGGGTTCCAGAATAAAATGTTATTGATCATTTACTCGCCACACTGTCATTCAGATTTCTCATTTCTTTAATTCTTCTGTCTCTATAGAGCGTTTTCATGATGCATCATCATCAGTATTATTAATATTACTGTTGGTTTTGAATCCCAGTCAACTTCATATGCAGAATAATATCAGTTTACTGAACTGATTGATTATGCTTATGTCCATTTGCATCTAAAGCACTGAGAGCACCATGGGAAAAAACTTCACCAAGGCCCTTGGAAAACACACAAAGCGAAGGGCATGCCAACACTTCTTCATTAATGCATGACAATTTTGTTTTACATATTTAAAAAGGAAATAATGTGTCATGCAGTTACTGTTTAAGCAAATAAATGCACTGTTACATTTTTATCTGGGTTGTGCTTGCATGTTTGCTGCAATATTTCAACAAGAACATCTACTTTTGACAGTTAGAGACCTTTTACAGCAAAAGAGAAACGTGTAGAATAAATGTCAGTCAATAAATGGGTAAACTGGAAGTGCTGTCGAATCTTTTGAAGAAGTAACTCTGGTATTTTCATGCAAAGCAAAAAGTAATGTGTCAGCTTATTAGGTTTCAGTGCATCAACATCAACATCAACACCAGAAACAAAGTCAGGACTGATTAACAGCATGTCATACAGTCACTGTTTTCAGTGTCTATAATTTTTAAAGAGACTTACTGGATGGTGGGTCTAGATCTTTGCTTCGACTTCTTTTGTGAGCAGAACCGCGAACAACGGCTATAAAACATTACATTGAGCACATGTCAGGACAGATCATATTAATACAGATAATAATGAATAATTCAGACGTCTTTACTGAAACACCCATAAGGCTGGTCATCAGGATTAACTGGTGTTTGTTTAGATTCTTCAGGAAAGATAAACTTCAGGAAAGATGTTGAATCAGATAATCTCTGACCTCTGCTCTCTCTGCTGGCCATGTTGATCTTCTGCTCTTCATCAGTTGATCATCATCTCTGTTCATTTCTGATGTTGCTGATCTTCATGTTATTATGCTGCTCATGTTGATCTGCTTCTCTTTCTTCAGTTCATCATCATCTTCCTCCTCCTGATGTGTGTCTCTTCATCCTCCTGTAAGAGATCACACAGATCTTACTACATTAATTATGTTGATGTTACATTTCAAATATTAAAATTAAATAGATTCTGAATACAAGTTGGTTTACTCCTGTATTTAATAAGTAGAGACCCTGTTTCAGTGTTAGTGTATCTGTGCACCTGATGACACTGATTTACCCTGAATACATGCTATTAATGACAAACAATATTGTGATTTAATCAAACACTGTTTCATTAAGCTCGACTTCAACAAGTAAAAGTTTTACCTTTAAAACAGAATAAAATTGAACATTTAAATGTATAAAATCAATCATTTTGTTTTGGGTTCTCAGACGTAAATGAAAGTGAAACCAATAGTTTCTACTACACACTGAATACAAAGAAAATGATAATTTTCTTCATAATGTATTATATTTACGCATATATTTGCGTATGTTTTTTCCACTGAACTTGTATTTAAAGCAAACGTAATATCTGCATGTGGAAGTCTTTTCCTTCATGAAACCATAGATATATAGACTAGATATCGCATAGGGACCCTGAGCATGCGTTAATAGCGCCGCCATATTGGTACAGTGCTCCCAGAACAAGTTTCATTTAACCGCACTAGCCAAGACAGTGTTACTACCTAAAAATGCAGGACTTTATTGCTGTATACGTGTGTAGCAACGAGCAAACAAAGAAAACAAAGCACAGAGGCAGAATAGGTAAGGTTTAGTTTTTTACGTTTGTGTATGTTCTGAACTTTTGTGCTAAACCAGTTATTGATAATACAGTCACTTACTGCATTCATCATAGCACCAACACTCACTAAACACTCGGCTTATGCTAGTTTTGTTGAATAAAATCAGCAAACAATGCAAAATAATAATAATAATAATTACTTACATTTATATAGCGCTTTTCTGGGCACTCAAAGCGCTTTACACAATGGGGGGATCTCCTCATCCACCACCAGTGTGCAGCATCCACCTGGATGATGCAACGGCAGCCATTTTGCACCAGACCGCACACCACACACCAGCTGATTGGTGGAGAGGAGACAGCGATGAAGCCAATTGAATATGGGGATGGTTAGGAGGCCATGATGGACAGAGGCCAGTGGGCAGATTTGGCCAGGATGCCGGGGTTAAAGCCCTACTCTTTTCGAAGGACATCCTGGAATTTTTAACGATCACAGAGAGTCGGGACCTCGGTTTAACTTCTCATCCGAAAGACGACGCTCACTGAGCAGTATAGCATCCCCGTCACTATACTGGGGCATTAGGACCCACACAGACCACAGGTTGGGCGCCCCCTGCTGGCCTCACTAACACCACTTCCAGCAGCAACCTAGCTTTCCCATGTGGTCTCCCATCCAGGTACTGACCGGCCGCAGCCCTGCTTAGCTTTATTGGGCAACCATGTGAGAGTGGCAGAGAGCTAGCTACCGGCAACAACAAGCAAAAGAAATATGACAACGAGATGCTGCGCTGCCAGAAACTTGTTGTTGGCTAGTGAAGGAGTCCTTCATAATGGAGATTCATTCACAAACAAACTGCTCCCTCCGTCAGTATGAGAAGTGAAAGCAGGAGAGGAGCTGTGTTTCAGGACACCAATTAGATCACACAAACACAAGCTTTTTGTCAGGAATGCCTGTGCGATCACTGATCCATAAATGTAGAAAAGTGATGTCAAATATTATTTTCTTAATTTATAAAAAAAAAAAAGTTTGCTTAATGATAGAGTTACCACTTTTGATACACAAAAATAAGAGACGCCCCCAAATACTAATGAACCTAATTTTAAAGGGGGGAATTGATAACAGATTTTGGCTAAAATGTTTGTCATTATTTGCAGTATCACCTATCCAAACATGAAAACAGCACACACATAAACATTAGACGCTGTAAAAAAAAAAAAAAGATTTGATCAATTAGTCCTGACAGCAGCATGTTTTAGGTCATTTAAACTTACTGAACTAAGTTGATCATATTCTATCTTAATTGTATAAGTTATGCAAGCTTTTTTAAGCCAGTTTAACATTATATAAGTTCAATTAACAATTGAAGTTAATTTTTACAGTGTAGTATAGTTTTCGCCTATTTCAATTTAAAATATGAATTAATTTTAAAATATGGAAAGTTGCAATTTACTTGTTTATTTTCTTTACATGGGCATTATGTTGTTTATTAATTTATTATATGTAATGCTTCATGTAATAAATTAATGCTGACGTGCTTGACTTAACCTTAACAAACAAGTCATAATATTACATTGGATTATGATCCACTTACATTGTATTTACAATTTTTTTTTTTTTTTTTTTTACAAATGACAATGTGTGACCCAGTGTGTGAAAACCAGGCCACATCTAATGCTGAGATCAAGTTTGACTGTAGCCATTCACTTCCCTGTGATTCCAGCTGTTGACATGGTTTTACTCAGTTAATAATAAATGCATATATAGCCTATTATTTTTTTATTTTCACAGACTGCTCTTTATTTCATGTAGAAAAAAAAAAGACTCCAGCTAGATTTTCACAGACTGGGTCACTGTCATTACTATGTCTGCTTCGGGAGAGACTTGGGGCACGGAGAACAGTCTGACTGCTTTGATTTTTGCGAGCTGTCATTGCGGGAATGTTGCTCCAGAGGCATGTTGTACGCTCTCCGACAAATCGTGCAGTAGCTTAATAATAATTCCTAACACTCTGCAGCCAGGTATCTATTTCCTCCCACTCTCTGCGGTACTTTTGCAGTCGATTGCATTTAAACTGTGAAACTTTAAGACGCGGAGGGTTACCTGGAGAAGCATCGGCCATTACTCTCTGTCAAGACTTGACAGACTTTGCTTAGAAGACCCGCCCTCCTCACTGGACAAAGACCAATCAAACTAACGATGACGTCAAGTATTACCCAATCAAAAGTAGGACATGAGGCATATTCAGTAAATGCGTGTGGGGTGATTTGCATGAAAAGCTACGTACTTTTAAAGAATTATTAAAATACGGGACAAAACAAAAAAAAAAAATACGGGACGCTCAATTTCATTCTCAAACATGGGATGATTCTGTATTTCAAGGGACGGGTGGCAACCCTACATACTGACCTCCGGGAAAATTCCAAATCATAGATATATGTGTATATGTAACGGAGGCCAGCTAGTGTGTGCTGTGCAGGTAAACCTCACTCCTCTGACCTCTAAACATGCTCTAATGACAGACGCTAGAGGTCATGGTCTTTAGCCTCCTTGGTAGAGCACCCAACTCCCATGCGGAAGGTCGCCGGTTCGATATCAGCTCGGAGCGGGTTGGGTGGTGTAGGACCGGCGGGGTTACATTGGTGCTGTGACCCAGATGGGAGTGAGGTTTAGGGGGGTGAGTGTAACGGAGGCCAGCTAGTGTGTGCTGTGCAGGTAAATCTCACTCCTCTGACCTCTAAAGGTGCTCTAGCGACAGATGCTAGAGGCCATGGTCTATAGCCTCCTTGGTAGAGCAGCCGACTCCCATGCGGAAGGACGCCAGTTTGATACCAGCTCGGAGCAGGTTGGGTGACGCAGGACTGGCGGGGTTACATATATGTGTAAATCTCTGGTTCTAGATGGCCACAGTCCTCTACTGCAGCTTGGTCCCGCATTCATTTTAAAGGAGCGCTACCCTGTACAAAAACTGCGGCTCTATTGACGCATTCTTTCCAATAGACAACAATAGGCCAGGCGACATCTAATGTAAATATCTATGCATGAAACCAGGAAAAATCCTGTGTGGGCGGGGTTTGTGATGTCAGCGTTTGGCCAGTCCTCAGTTCACAGCTCCTTCTGTTGCTGGACAAAATCACTGCAGGATCTGTTCATCTGCAGGTGAGTAGGTCAGAGGACTTCATATATGTGTGTGTTTTCGGACTGTTTTATACCTGCTGTTGTAACACTAGGAGAATTTCGGGGACAGAAAACCAAACAGACTCATCTGTTCCCTTTAACTCAATAATAACCGAGTTTACTTTTACTAATGTTATAGCAGGTTTGTGCAAAATATCTATTTGATTTAATCGTATTTCAAATAGTGGTTTATTTCATATCATCGTTAAAAGCCTGCATTGATTAATTTCTCTATTACACAGGAGTGTTCTAAGTGTGTGTCAGTCCGCAGAGATTTAATGTGTGTATTTCAATGTATAAAATAACTGAGACAGACTATAATAATAATAATTGACTTTAAAACAGATAATTGAACTAATAATTGACTTTAAAAACCTTTCTATATTTAATATCATGTTAGTAATATCTAGATTAAGTTATTAATTATGATGCTGAGCGACCCAGGATACAATGCACATGACATATATATTAGATGTCAACTATGCCATCATGCGTCAATAGAGCCACCATTATGGTACAGGTACAAAATGACTTATTTCAAGGATGTGAAATACAGGTTCTGTTTTAAAGTATTCATGCACCTGAAATAAAGAGTTCCCTGATCATCTTTAGAAATACCAATAGTACAATAGCACTGATATACTCAATCAAATGGATCAATAATCTAATCAGAATCAATCAAACCTGATTATCTGAACTAATGTCGAATGTAAATCAGAAACTTCAATCAACTAAATAACCAGTTCATTAGCTTATCTCTTAAATAAATCATATGCTGTAAATCCAGTCTGATCTCGAGAGGAAATAGTTTTTAAATAGTCAGTAAAGTGTCTAATTCATGCAAATTTACTCACATAAACAAGATTGTTTTAACCTTAACCCAGCCATTATCAGGAGAAGAGCACATTATACTAAAATGAAGGAATGAGATTGCAGAAATTAATATGAGTTCAGCCACTAAATCAATAAGTTATGAGTTGCTGTGAGATTGTGTTAGTAATTCTGTATCATACTCTCTGCATGTCTTGGTAATACTGTACTTTAAGCTACATTATCATATATATGTTGTTAAAGGCTTTTACACACAGATTTGATACTGATATTATTGCTTGGCAAAGAAAAAACATTATAAACAAACTAAGATTCAGTGTTGCGTATGAGCTCGCATTTATGAAGGCAGAACTAAGTGTAGGCGCCATGTTGTATTTTACACAGATGAAAACAACGCTGTCCTAAGATATATATTTAAACCATAAAGCTACTAGAGAACACCTTTATCAAAGCGCACAACATTTAATGTTGTTTGTGTACTATTTTAAGACTTTTTAAGTCAGCTGAATAGCAATAGCATGCCGTTACACCAAAGTACAGTTCACTGAGTATGAACATAAATTAAAGACGGGGCCATCGTGAATAAGCTACATCCATAAAACAAACTAAAATATACATCTGTAAGGAAATGTAATACCTGTATGTGGATGATTAGATATCCTTGTAAGAGTTTTCTTTCGCTAACAGAGCAGGATGAAGTCTGTATGTTCAGGTGGAGTCTGCCATGAATCAAAGGTCACTTCTGTTATCTGAATATCAGATGCAGGTTTATGTTCAGGTACAGCATGGCAATAAATGTGAATTAATGGCTAAAACAACCGCAGCTGATCATAAAGACTTTCAAAAAGACTTTAAACAACAAACATGATGAAACAGTGAAAGCTGTTTGTTCATTCAGCAGGGGAAATAAGTAATGAACACGTCACCATTTGACTTGAAATTTGACTTCACCGTTGACTTGAAATTTTACCCTGATGTTGGTAAAAACCTAAGAAATCTAAATATGCTAAGAAAACTAAACTAATTCAATTACAGATAAAGTTACGTGTAGTGACATGAAATGCAGGCAGAAAGTGTTGGACATATGAAGAACGGGAGGTGTAGAAAGACATGCAAAGCTCAGACAGCAGCTGAAACCTCACTGTAGTTCTTCAGCAATCCTCTGCCCTTCTTCAGCTGCTTCAGTCTAACATCTACATTAGCAGGAGGATAAAGATCAAACCATTTCAGCTAGACAATGATGCAAAACACAGCCGAGGAGACTCTCAGATGCTTTTAGAGAAAGATAATCAAGCTGTAGAATGGCCCAGTCAATCACCTGACCCCAATCCAATGGAGAATACAGAATAAAGCTCAGATCTGATAGACGAGACCCACAGAACCATCAAGATTTAGACACTCTGTTGAAAACTGTTAGAAAGTCACACCTGAGCAATGCATGTGACTTCATTCTCCATATGAGAGGCTTCTTAAACAATTATATACAGTATTAAAAACAGTTCAGTCGTTATCATTCAGTCAGTACATTCTTATTACACACAACTCATTTTTTTTAGATTTGTTTTGTTTTGATGTTTGGACTTTTAGCAAAATCTGCTTCAGTTGCATGTCAGCAGCTCCTTTAGAGATGTAATTTCCAAGAAAAAACATGACGTGTTCAATACTTATTTTCCCCGCTGTAAATACACACTTTAAATATTGAGAGAATGGCTCACTCGCAAGAGCTCATTATAAATGTGCAGTAAGCTCACTGGCGAACTGTCCACAAGTTGAAATGTTTGTAAACAAGACCAACCCAGAAATGATCAGTGGTGTAAAATAAACAATTACAGATACTCAGATCACTGTAATTGAATAGCGTTTCTCAGGTATTGTACTTTCCTAAGCAGTTTCAAGCAGTGTTATTTTACTTGACTACTACATTTTCAGTGCTGTATCTCTGCTTTTACTGCATTATTCTCCTTGAACCTGCAGTCACTACTTTGCTCATTTTTTTCTTGGTAATTGGCTAAAGACAATAATCAGTACCTGATTCCTGTCCAATCAGATCTAGACTACACAATGTTATGTATATTACGCACACACATAAACTGCTTGTGTTCTCTCAGTGCTGCAGGAGATTGGTTTGTGGCGCCACCTTTTGGACGTTTACAGTTTGTTAGTCAGGGGTCAAAGGTCGTAGCCTGAGTATAAGCATAACTGTTTTTATATTGACGTTTAGAGGAGCTCATTCAATAATTTTCCTTCAGCTTAGTCCCTTATTTATTAGAGGTCACCACAGTGGAATGAACCACCAATTATTTCAGCATGTTTTTTTATGCAGCAGATGCCCTCCCAGCTGCTACTGGTAATTTTAGGCTACTTTTACTCATATTTTGAGTAGTGTTCAGAACAGACACTCTTAATCAAACTAACTTACTTTTTGGCAAGTAATGGTACCTTAAGTATGCCTTTCTTTGGTATTAAGCAGTCGGCCTGGCAACATCACTGACATGCCAATCATTACTGTAAACACAAACTCTTTTATGAGATGTCTAGTTGAGGTTGAGACCTGGCTCTCATAAAATTTTTTACATTTCAATGAAGAAAAAACTGAGCTGGTCTGGTCTGGTTGATCCTAACCCTCAGCATTTATTAGGTTTTGGTGAGCTATCAACTTATCAAAAACCTGTTGTTAGAAACCTTGGGTTTCATTTCGATAGTGGTCTGAAACTTAATAAACAAGCAAATCCAGTTTTTTAAAAAGCTTCTGAAACTGCATCCTTGTTCTTTAGCATTTCAGCCTTTTTAATGTTGAGAGGTTTGCCTTATGTTTTAATTGTTATGTATGTAATGTAGGTTTTACTTTATTTAGTATTGATTGTGTTCAGCACTTTGGGCATTGTTGTGTTGTAAAAAATGGAATGTCGCGGGGGCACTTTTGATCATTTTGGAAGGGCACTTTCTATCCAAGACTAAAAAGGGCATGTGCACTGCACAGGTTGAGCACTGTGTGTGCACGTGCCTGACGCGAACGTAGGGAGAACATGCAAACTCCACACAGAAACGCCAACTGACTGACCTTGTTTATTAAGAAATAAAACAGGTATGACACAAGCTGTAGGAATTAGTCCAGTGGTTCCTTTAAGAAAAACAGCCAATAAAACTGAGCAGTGAGGAGTTGCAATCAAATAACATTTTAATGTGGAACGGATAGTTCATCATATATTAGGCTGATATTTAAAGAGCTAGAGTCAGCCTCGTCGAGCCAATAAGTGAAAGCAGCAGCTGATCCTGATCCCACATGCATCTCAGATACAGCAATATAAGCACATCACAAGTTTAAAATACAAGTTCATGTTTAGATTTCAATGATGTAAGAACTGTCATACATGTACGTACATTTATGCAACATAGATTTAAAAATTGTGAAGATAGTCATTTTTATATGAATACAACAGGATGGGAGTGCCATGAACAGTGTGAGAACTGAGCAACATTTCCAGTTACTCATTTGAGAGATTAAGAAATGTGTGAAAACTGTTTATATCTGTTGTTGTTTTTGTTTTTTGTTTTTTTTTCATTTTGTCCACTCAATCCTTTGACAAACTTTCAAGTAGCTTTCTAGTTTTCTCTCTTCTTCCAATAATCTCTGAGCATCTTTAAACATCTGGTTAGTGTAGTGTCCTCCTCCATTCTGCTGTATCATTGAGTCAATCTTCTGCAGTAGATCCTCCACCTGCTCTCTGTTCTCCTCATCTCTGTTGTTGAACACATGATATCTGCCTCCACACTGCTGGACTAGAGATCTTAATCTACTGTTCTCCTCTATCAGCTTCTCTACAGACACTTTACCCAGCAGATCTCCATGAGTGAAGAGAATGATGCAGTAATTCAACACATCCTTACCAAATATCAGCTCAATCTTCTGAAGAGTCTGTTGCTCCAGTTCAGTGAATCTGTCATCTGCACGCAGGACAATGAGGAAAGCGTGAGGTCCAGGACTGGAGATATACACACTTCTGCCGATCTCCATCATTAACTCATTGTTGTTCATATGCGTGTCAAAAAATCCCGGAGTGTCGACTACAGACACAGATCTGCCTGAAACTTTGGCCTGAGCTTCTGAACAAACAAGGGTTACTGAATGGCTACTTATCTGACATGAGAACTCTTTCTGTCCCAGGATTGTGTTTCCAACTGCACTTTTACCAACACCAGTTTTACCCAGAAGAACAATCCTGATGTAAGAGAGACTGGACACTAGAGTGTGTTCTGGCTTTTGACGCTCTGTTTTAAATGCTGTAAAGAGAAAAACAAATAATAAATTGCATTTGATGGGATACAAAAAAAACTAAATACATGTATACACAAAAAAGTGTGAACGAAAAGCTCACCCATTGTTGGAAGACGTGGAAAACGTTGAAAGCTTTCATTCCTCATCTGCTGACCCCCTCCTGTCTTATATGAACCAGGTAATCCTGGTGTGTTAAAAACAGGGACTGGAAACCAATCTCCAGCCTCCACAGCGGCATCTTGTGAGAATGTAGAGCTTTTCTTTGAGGCAAATGCTGGTCCACGCAAGAATGTTTCTTCTGATGAACTTTTCCCAGCACCTCTTTCTCCCAGCAAGAATAAATTAAAATCTAGGAATAAATAAAATTTGCAAAGTGTGAGTAAAATGCTATGCTTAGAGCAAATCACCATTTTTCATTACAGTGCAATAATACGCAAGGGGCTCTTTAAAATGCTGTAATGGTATTGTTTTTAAAAGGAAGAGAAGGAAACAGGAGTTGTATGAGTTGTGCTTTGAATTGAATTTGACACACGATTTGACGCACTTGAACAAAATGATTAATACATGTGATTTGCATTTCTTTGGTGCACATAGTGAGGTACGCTTAATTAAAGAAATTTAGGGTTTGTTGTTGCAAGCAGTTATAAAATCTAATATAGTTTTGAATTTCAATTTTTGTTTTAAAGGGTCACGAAACACTGAAACACATGTGTTGAGCTGTTGACAGTGGTATATGTGTCCCACACTGCTATAAACACTATTAGGACACCTATATTTCACTAAAAAGTGTAAATTGGTTGTTTTTGCGTTATTTCAAGCAAATTCGTTCTTCCGGTTTGAAACGAATTTTTAAAGCTGCATCACGGTCATGACATAATAGCGTGTATTCCAGCGTGCAGACTGGACGTCTGTGCCAGAGTGTGTCTTATTACGTCTTACAGTGTGTTGCATTAATGCATGAGTAAAGCTTGGTTCAAACCAATCAGCGCGCTCTATTGTGCAACTTCAATAATATTCATTACTGTCACAGTGTTTTCACCACAGAGACGCCACGTTGTGTTGGCAAAACAAGTGTGAAGTGTTGCTTTTATAGTTTGCTGCAGTGAAGTTTTGTTTTCATTTTCTCTCTGTGAGAGCTCAGCTGGAGTCACGTGTGGATTAACAGTGTACGCGACGCTCGACAACAATAACTTACGTGTCTAAGGAGGATTATTGTTTACCTGAGAGCTGTTCTCATCTGCAAACGCTGAGATCTGGATTCGCTTGTCGTCTCCTCTTCATAAAGACGCGGCTCTAGTTGCTGGTGATTGTCCTGTCTCTACAGATTTGGTAAGTGAGCGACCAGTGCTCTTTGTTTATTCAGTTTGTTCGTATCTTATTAAGTTAACTATTGCACTGAGTGCAAACATGTTAGCACCGCATTTAGTGACCGGAATAACACACGCGGCTTTCTGACGCTACCTGCCGTGTGCATCTAAGTTTCCAGGAAATGCTGAGTTTTTATTCTCTTATTCGCCGTGCGGTATCAAACATTGTATAAAAAACACGCTTACAGCAGTTCCTCGAATCAAATATCTCGTTTGTCGCGAGGGGCATGAATGAATTCCCTGAATGAAAGAGCCAAACTGCAGTTAAAGTCCACCATTTAATAATTTGGCAAATAATTCGACTACAGATGTCCATGTAGGTTAAACACCATCACTTTCTCCTGTCTGTGTATTTTGACTCTGAAACTCGCGCGTGCACAAATAGACACTCCCACACCCTCCCACTTTAGTTCCTCCGACACTCCCCCCTAAACAGAGCTGGACACGCCCACTTTTCTGACTTTTTCCAAAGTAGAGGTGTGAAAACACCCTGCTGAAACGAGGGGATTTCATGGCCCTTTAAAGGTGATCTATTATACTACTTTTTACACCATGTGAAGTTTATTTCTAAACTAATTTCGAGAGGATCACCAGTTTATGATTGCTCGTAGCCGGTCCCGCATTATTCAATTAATGATTGACGATTCCTAAGCCACTATAAATACCCTGAGTTCCATATGACAGCCGTCTTCATTTTGAAGAATCCCCCCTTCCCCCCTACTCCTTCTCCTTTCCTAGATGGGTGGCACCGTGGCCCAGTGGTTAGCGCTGTTGCCTCACAGCAAGAACGTCACTGTTTCTAGTCCTTACCAAGCCAGCCGGTTCCCCGGTTTCCTCCCACCATCCAAAAACATGCAACTTAAGTTAATTGACTAATCCAAATCAGCACCATAGACATGCTCCTAGTCAGTAGTTATCTCTGAAGAGCAATCACTGTCTGTTCATTAGCTACTGCAGCAGGGGATTTCTCCAGACCTACCTGAGCTCAAACTCCCCTCTCGCATTCTAAACGGGAGGCAGCCTCGGGCTCAAGGATTTGGTTTGGATTTGGTTGTATTTTTGGTTTAAGATTAAATAGGACGTCATCGACGTTGAAGATTTCGTTTTCATATCTGTTGTTTATTAGATTAGAGGGGATTTGTTGTGAATAATATTAAGACGGTTTTGTTTGGTTCTCTTATTTAGCGCCACCTGTAGCCAGTCTTTCTAAAATTTCGTTGTTTATTGTCTTTAATCTTGTATATATTGTAAATTTCACTCACTGATTCACCCTCATTTTTGCAAATAAATCACTTATTTCTTCTCTTATACTTCTCCATCCTTACTTTGTAACACAATTTGTTTTGAGTTTTCGTATAACCAATTCCTCAGTTAAATGTGCAACCCCACTTCCCTAGACAAAAAGGGGTTGTAACCAAACACAGATGAACGTTGACTAATTATCTTGCTAAAATCATGTTTTACCTGTTGTGAGTTCAGTAACTGGACTTCGGTGTCTCCTGTAAAGTTCAGATAACTGTTTTTCTTCTCTTCTTGTTCCTTCTTTCATCATCTTCATTCTCTCTTTCTCCTGGCTTTGTTGTGTCTCCATCTCAAACTTCATTGTTCTCACTTTCTCTTGCACGAGTTTCTTTATCAGTTCTTCTCTTTCTCTATTCAGTTCCTCTATCTGGATCTTCATCTTGTTTTGTTCCTCTTCATGTTTACACTGAAGATCTTCTTTCTCTCTCTCCATCCTCTCCCTCTCTTCTCTCAGTCTCTCGTTAAACTCAATCTGTTCTCGCATTGAATCTCTGTATTGAGCTGCAGAAATCAGGTGTCGTCCCTCATTGCTCCGCTCGATGTCCTCAAAGGCCTGCAGAAGATGATCAGCAGAGCTGCTTGTCTGAAGACTGAAGTGTCTGTTGGAGCACTTCTGGATGATCTTCTGCAGGATCTGATTGGGTTCAGTGGGCTCTTGTGTGCTGAGCACCAGGGTGTGTTGAAGAAGGCGCTCAGAGAAAGAGTCCTGCAGCTTCTCCACACGCTCTTGATCTTCTGCTGAACACTGCTGATGTTGGAGGAGCAGAAGCACCACATGAGGTCCTGGATCAGACAGACTCACGCACTCTCTGACCGTCTGTGTGATCTGATCATCTGAGATGTGTGTGTGGAGCAGCTGAGGACTGTTGATGAGCGTCACGTGTCTGTGCTTCAGTCTTCCTCCGACTCTCTCCACAACATCTGGAGGAGCTTCACTGTCAAACGCTGATCGACCCAAGATCAAGTTCCCCACACGGCTGTTCTCAGACACACTTTTACCCAGGAGAAGAATCCTCAGAGGAGAATCAGCGCTCACTGAAACACACAACAAAAACTTTTATCATGACTTGTAGTAAATTTTAGAACGCAAGCCAGAAGACTCCTTCAAATAGGATTCTTTATTGAGATGTGTTGGTTGTTCTGAAGTCACAGTCATCTTTATGGAGTCCACATCAGTCTGCAAGAGTTTATTGTATATGTTTTAGGGGGTAGTGTTAAGATGGAGGTGGCTAAACAAGTCATGCGAATGTGATAGATAGTTGAAAGACCCTGTCCAGACAAGTTTCTTCTGCTGAATCTAATCAACAAAAGAATTTCTTTGTGCATTTGTCTGTGCATCCATTCAGGCCAGTCAATAAAACCCTGTTCACCCGGTTCACATTACTTTGGGATCTGCCAGTGCTCAGAAAGGCAACAGGTTTAATGTCTTTTATGCCCTGGCTGCTAGAGTTTTGAATGAAATGACAATTCCAAATACCAAAGAAAATAACTTTTACGTTTATAAAACTGTTAATTTAAAACTAGGGTGCCACAGTGGTTAGCACTGTGGCCTCACAGTAAGAAGGTCACTGGTTCAAATCCCGACTGGTTCAGTTGGCATTTCCGCAGTTTGAAAAAGTCAAGGTTTTTAAACCGCCAAAATGTTCTGCAATACCGTTCCTAAGGTATGTGTACGAGTTTTTTATTTACATTTTTTAAGACAACAGTATCTCCAACAGTAAAGAAATATCCAAAGATGCCATTTTAAATTGTAAAGAAATCAGTGTTTTTGAAACTAATGAAGACAGCAAAAGTCAATAATTCACTTGAATTATTTAGCCTGCTCCTAAATATCATAAATCTTCCAAAAAAAATATATATATATTGTTTTCAAAGGGGAAATTTTTTTTTTCAGACATTAAAAACGAATATATTTTAGAGCAATAATCTCAATACGGTGAAACCGTGATTTTTGTATCCAAGATTATATCGTCAGAATCTTAAACTGGCCCATGCCTAATTCACACAGACTCAAATATGTCCAGTGTTGGGGAAAGTTATATTTAAAAAGTAATGCATTACAATCATGTGTTACTTAAAATGTAAATACATTCTACATTTAGTTACTTTTTACATTTTAAGGAAAGTAATGCATCATGTTACTTTTGTGTTACTCTTCATTTGTAGTAGTGTATATTTTTTACAACAATAGTAAATGTAAAGATTAACAATGGAAAACCAAGTAAGTAACTCCAATATTTTCTTGTGAATTAAAATATAATGCACCACTTTACTAAGACTAAAAGTGCAAGTCTCAAACTGGTTTCCTGGAGGACGGCAGCTCTGACAGATTTGCTCCACCCCTAATCCAACACAGCTGATCAACTAATCAAAGTCTTCAAGACCATTAAGCAGGTGTGAGTTGGAGGTAGCTGGAGCTAAACTCTGCAGAGCTGTGGCCCTCCAGGAATTCAGTTTGAGACTATTGATGTAAAGTATCAACATCAAGAACAAAAACACAGTCTTGTTTTAATTGACTAAACACAGTTATGACCTGCTGTTGAGTGATCAGTGATGGTCAACTTGATAAATACTTACTGTTTGGAGGCTCTACATCTTTGCTCCAACTTCTCTTGTGAGCAGAACCGCGAACAACGGCTATAAGACATTGAATTGACAACATGTCAGAAAAGATCAGCTTTGGAGTGTACAGTACATAATACATCACACTTATATTCCTGCATTTAGCAGACACTTTTATTTCCACTTAGAACACTGCAAACACATGAACAATATAACAGGTATATCTCAAACCAAGTTACAGGGCCAGCTCATGCCCACCCAATCAAAAAGACAGCAATATACAAATACGTTTTTATTATATTCTTTTGAACGATTTGTGATTGGATAATATCAGTAAGGCGGGCTCTGTGTTGAAAAAATGTGGAAAAAAGGAGTTGAAAGCCCTGACCAATCATAACGGGACACCAAACAGTTTGATTGGCAGTAAGTAATGGGCTACTTGGCTTTAGTTCAGTCTGTTACAGCGAATCACGCAATTAATAAAATCTAGAAATATTTGCTTTTAAGTGCAATATTTTGTGCCTTTAAACATGCACACATGCCCCAGTAAAAATTGTCTGTGCTCCAGCAAAAGCTTAAGATTTACATTATACTGTATGTCAGTGTATTTATTAAGGGCGCTTTCACATCTGTGGTTCGCTTCATTTGGTCCGCACCAAGGCAAATAAATGATACAATGTTGCATTTTCTGCCGTCTTTAATCTGAACCAGTTGAAACGAACCAAAATGCAGTCATCTGACAAAATCCACATCTCTCATCGGCCAGATGTTGTTGAACATATTTCCTAAACTGCTTATTGATTGGTCAGAATTCATGTGCGGGAAAATGCCAGTGAACTCCCGCAGGTAAACAAAACCGGCAGACACAAAATGTCATTTTTACTCTGCAGGGGCGACTGCGCTGACTGATTCTATCCCTGCTTTAGACAAACTATACATTATGAAAATGAAGTGCGGCCGCGGCTGGAAAACAGTGTTTAATGCATCGCTCGTCACTTCAGGAGGAGACGTGAATTAATTTAGCTAAACTGCAACATGGTCATCTTGCGGAAATATTACCAACGATCCATCAGGTAATGTTTTCCCCTCTCTCTCGCTCTCTCTGTTGGTAAAGCGCTGTCAACAAATATTTTTCCTCGCAGCTGACCTGTTTTAGTACGGATCATATTCTCACCACAAATGAACCGCTCCAGGGTTCGTTGGAAAGTGTACCGAGACCACCTCTTCAAGCAGGTCTCGTTACGCTTATTTGGTCTGCTTTTGGTGCGCACTCGAGTACGATTGCTGCATTCACACCTGCCTAAACGAACCGTACCAAAAGGGAAAACGAACTCTAGTGCTATTTAATCGAATTATATAAGGCAGGTGTGAAAGCACCCTAAGAGTGTTAATCTCAACCAATGTGATGCATTCTCGCAGAAAACCATTCATGCACTGCTCCTGCTTGACGCTGACACGCTGCTCTGCTCCCAGTGTTATGCATTGTGAAACCGGCGTAACGAGTCAGTGTGTTTTGTTGAATAAAATCAGTAAGCAATATAAAAGAAATATGACAACGAGATGCTTCGCTGCCAGAAACTTGTATTATTGTCGGCTAACGTTAGTGAAAGAGTCGTTCGGGGGATTCATTCACAAACGAATCGCTCTCTCCGTCAGTATGAGCAGTGAAAGCAGGAGAGGAGCTGTGTTTCAGGACATGATTAGGTCAAATTTAACAGGGAGGGTGAATAGTACATTTCTGTACACACAAACACAAGCTTTTAGTCAGGAATGCCCGTGCGGTCACTGATCCATCAATGTAGAAAAGTGATGTCAAATTATAATTTTTGTAATTTAAAAAAAATTGCATACTAACATCCAGGAAAACTCCCGATCATAGATATATGTGTATATGTGTATATCTCTGGCTCTGGATGGACACAGTCCTCCACTGTACCGTGTACTGCATTCATTTTAAAGGAGCGCTACCCTGTAGCAAGATGGCGGCGCTATTGACGCATTCCTTCCAATCGACAACAACAGGGTAGGTGACATCTAATGTATAAATCTATGACTGTACCAGACAAACCAATCCACTTCCTGAGCCTGTCCAGCAGTATACTGTGGCATATGGTGTCAAAAGCTGCCAAGTAAAGTAGTATAATAATGTAAAACTCATCTTTATAAAACACCTATAAGACTGATCATTTAGTGTTGAACTGTAGGAAAGATGTTTGATCAGATGTGTCTGAATAATCTCTGACCTCTGCTCTCTCTGCTGCTCATGTTGATCTTCTGCTCTTCATCAGTTGATCATCATCTCTGTTCATTTCTGATGTTGCTGATCTTCATGTTATTATGCTGCTCATGTTGATCTGCTTCTCTTTCTTCAGTTCATCATCATCTTCCTCCTCCTGATGTGTGTCTCTTCATCCTCCTGTCAGAGATCACACAGATCTTACTACATTAATTATGTTGATTAATTAAATATATTTAATATTCTGTTATAATAATGTTTTAAATACTAGTTTGTTTCCTCCAGTAATTAATAAGTGCTGAAATGTTTGTGTGTTGGTGTATTTGAGCATCTGATGACACTGGTTTACCCTGAGTATATGCTATTATTAATCTCCTATTTAGTGATTTAATCAAACACTGCTTTATTCAAATGGTTCGTGTTGCTGAAAATAAACACCAGTACAACACAGCTCAAGTTCAACAATTACAAAAGTTTTACCTTTAAAACGGAATAAACATTCAGATATAGAAAACGAACCATTTTGTTTTGGCATCTCGGACATTTAAAAAGCAACAGCAACATTTGAAAGCAACAGTTTCTGCATGCTGTACAACTACTGTACTGAATATAAAGAGTATTATAATACATGTATGCAGATATGTGCGCATGTTTTTCCACTGACCTTGTTTTTAAAGCAAACGTGATTCCTCCATGTTGAAGTTTGTATGTTCCTTCAAGAAACCAGGAAGAAACCTGCGTGTGGGCGGAGTTTGTTGCGTCATTCTCCATCCTGTACCTGAGCCTTTTATTCATATGTCAGAGCTCTCTCTGCTGCTGGAAATAATCCCTGCAGGTGTGTGTGACTAGTTTAGGGTAATAATGAAGTGATGACGTCCTCTACTGGTAAACTACTGGAGCTGCAGATAATCAACTACAATTAGAAACAGCAGCTTGATTTACTGTCGTCTGTTTTGTGTATTTATATTGCTAAAGTTTATAAAGGCATTTCTTTAAATGTTTTTATACATTTATAAATATGTTTTTTTTAAATGCATGCATTTTTTGTGATTGCACACATTTATTTTAACTTCATGCATTTTATATTTCGTGCATGTTTTATGTATGCATGCTTTTATTTACCAATGCATAATTTATATTATTTTTATAAATGCGTGTTTTTATTAATTTAGAAAGGCATGCACTTATTTATAAGTACATATATTTATTTAAGTTGCACACATTTTTCTTTAGTTGCACACATCTTTTAAAAAGGCATAAACTTCTGTGTTTTATAAAATGCATAAATGCATGACTCCTTATTTAATAAATGCATGCATTTATTTTACTGCATGTATGTATTTATATTACATAGATGTTATATATATTTTTATAAATGCATGCTTTTATTCATATATAAATGTGTGCTTTTTATTTATTTGTTTTTATAAATGTATACATTTATTTTAATTTCATGCATGTTTATAACTTAATAAATGTCCGCTTTTATTCATTTATGAATGCCTGCTTTTTTTTATTTATATGCTTTTAATTACATTTTTTATAAATGTATTTATTTTAATTGTGTGCATTAATTTTATTGTTTTTTTAATTAATGCAATTTTTAAATAAACGTTTGCATTTATTGATTTCTGAATGTATTATTTTATTGATTTATAAATGCATGCTTTTTATTTATACGTACATGCATTTTTATTTATTGATTTATAAATGCGTGTATTTTGGCATGAATAAATGCATGCATTTTTTAAATTGCATGGATTTTTATCATTTATATATTCATACATATATTTTAATTGCATGCATTTTTTAAAATAAAGCTTTTATGAATACAAATCATAACAGTGAGAAATCAACAAAAAAGCATCCTCGTTCAGTTTCAGGAAATGTTTCTTTAAATGTTCAGTTCAGCTGGTGTTGTGTTTTTTTTTTTTTTTTTTTTTTATGCTTTAAACAACATATACATGACAATACAGCAAACAAAACAATGCCAGGGTGATAGAAAGTAAATTATAACAACAATACATAAAATAAAATAAAACAAACATAAAAATAAGAGTATAAATACTTAACTAAAAATTCTTACAAATATAAACTAGCAGGACCTTTACATTAATCAAAGATATTGAAACTAGAGCACAGTTGGACAGTTTTAATGGCCTTTCGATTAGCACTATGCTGAATAGTGCAAAAGCAATTTTTCAGTTCCTTATAAAACGCAGTAAAACAAGGTTTTTTGTTGGAAAATTTACACTTATGAATATGAAACTTAATTAGCAAAATAAATAGGTTAATAACAAAAGCTTCATTATTCAAATTATCATAATTAAAATACCCAAAAATTACAGTTTCATAATGCAAATTAAAGTTAAAGAGTACTCTTTTCTTTATAAAAACAGAAGCATCATACCAGAGCTTTTTAACATAACCACAGTGCCAGAAAAGGTGGGGTACAGTTTCCAAATGCAAAGAACAAAAAGAGCAATTTATATCAATATCCTTTTTAAATTTACTTAGGAAATGTTTAACCGGATAGAATTTATGAATTAGTTTAAAAGATATTTCTTTTATCTTATTTGTAACCAAAAATTTGTGAGGCAATGACCAGATACTTTCCCATTTAGGAATTCTTACAAAATTATTCCAGTAGGTAATAGAGCAAGGTTTAGATACAACTTGATTTACAAATAGAGAGCGAATAGATTTGTTATTTTTAGACTGTGAGAAACAAATTTTACCACACACTGTATCAACTAGTTTGATTATGGGCTTATTAATCCAAGTTATACCTCTAAATAAGGAAACAATATTAGAATTAATTGCAGAGAAAACAAGAGAAAATTCCTTGGGAGTTACAGGAAAGTTAAAATGTACAAGAAACTCTTCATATGTCATAAGATACCCTTGAGTGTTAAACAATTGACAAACTAAAACAATACCCTTTTCAAACCACTTCTCCAAAAAGATACTCTTGCATTTATACAAAATACATCTATTGTTCCAAATAAAATAACGTTGTGGTGAAAAATTGTGCTTGTAGATCAGTTTCCACGCCAACAAGGCTTGAGAAGCAGAGAGCTTCACTGGTAATCAGCTGGTGTTGTGTTACAATCAGTTTCAACAATTACTGTGACATCAAATCCCCAACAGAGCACAGGTTGAGCGCCCCCTGCTGGCCCCACTAGCACCACTTACAGCAGCGACTTAGTGTTCCCATATGGTCTTTCATCCAGGTACTAACCAGGCTCAGCCCTGCTTAGGTTCAGTGGGCAACTATGTGTGAGCTGCAGAGAGCTACCTGTGCACTTGAAGTCCATTGCAGAAGCATCCATTCCTGCAGACATTGTACACTTACCTTCCTTTTCTATGCCTCACTTCATTTTTCAACTAACTTTTTCCAAATGAGTATTGTTTGAACCACAGAGACGGATGCTCAGAGCTAATGCTCAGACATCTGGAGGTGAGCTTGAAGCACTGATGCACAAACATTTCTTGGCGTTCTGGGTGAGGTGGAATCATCTCATGAGTTGTTCACCATGTGCGAAAACGAAATCAGTGAATACATTTCTATAACGCAAATTAGATACAAGAACTCAGTTTACACTTGAAAAATAATTGTGGAACAACAACACTATTTACAGACATTCATAGACATCACACAGTTTCTTCAGTCTTCTGCCATCAGGCCAGGACCAGCAGACAGCTGAAGGACAGCTTCATCCATCGGGCTGCCAGGAAACTGAACTCTCTCCCAGATCTGCTCCTGATATTTATTTTTTATACTGTCTAAATTTCTAAGAAGGTCGCTGGTTCGAACCTCGGCTCAGTTGGCGTTTCTGTGTGGAGTTTGCATGTTCTCCTTGCCTTCGCGTGGGTTTCCTCCGGGTGCTCCGGTTTCTCCCACAGTCCAAAGACATGCAGTACAGGTGAATTGGGTAGGCTAAATTGTCCGTAGTGTATGAGTGTGTGCGTGAATGTGTGTGTGGATGTCTCCAAGAGATGGGTTGCAGCTGGAAGGGCATCCGCTGTGTAAAAACTTGCTGGATAAGTTGGCGGTTCATTCTGCTGTGGCGACCCCGGATTAATAAAGGGACTAAGCCAACAAGAAAATGAATGAATGAATGAATGAATGAATGTAAATTCAACGTTGCATCGCTGAGTGATGCAATCTCAGCTTGCATCACAACGGCTGCATCCAGATACTACTGCACAGTCATGGAAAGGGAAGTGCTGAAAGTGAAAGCGCTGGTCCGTAAAAGTGCTTCTATAGTTTCGTATCTGGTCCACAAATTTCATTCGTCTTACATACAGACCTGTGGTTGATTACGTTTCACAATAAACAAAACTAAAATACTAAAGTATAAGAGAAACTTAAATGTTAGTAGTTACTTTTATATGTTGTTGGTGAAAAACACAAGAAAATTCATGCAACAATATTTAATTCATTTATTAAAACTGTAGAATATGCAAACAACATGATGAAGTTCATATAAAACGATTCACAACAGCATCAGACTGATAAAGCATGAGCTGGGCGGATGTTTATATCAGGAGCGCATTTGTAATCTATCAGTATCTAGATAAAGTAAGGAAGAGGGAACAGCTTAAAAACAAGTTTGAAAATGGCACCTATTTTACCCCCTTTCAAGATTTGAGATCAGTCTTTATTTCTCCAGAATGTGTCTGTAAAGTTTCAGCTCAGAATATCTATCAGATTATTTATTATACCGTTCTGAATCTGGGATATTTGAGCTGTTAGGACATTATAGGTGTTTTTGTTGCCTGTGCCTTTAATACAAATAAGCTGGTTCTCCCTGCCCACCATCCCCACGTGCCTGTCAGAGCCATAAGGATCTCTATGATGGATGTAGTCTTCATCAAGAGCATGACACATAAGCTGCGTCCCAAATGGCACTCTATACACTATGCACTCATGCACTATGTACTTATGCACTTACACACTCAACAGGATAGTATATGTATGTAGTAGCGTTCCAAATGGCACACTGATGTTTTTTTACTAAACGGAAATTCAAACCGGTTGCCAAATCAGTGAAATAAACGACCGACTTATCAAATAATACCTGCCATGAGTATTGTCGCATTCACCATCGGGAGGCGCTATAATCACTTTCGTAGGAGAATTTTGCTTTCACCATCAAAAATAAATAAAGTTATTCAACATGTGCGCCCGATAGCTCCGCCCCTTCCGCTACATAAGCAAACTTGCGGTGGTTGAGTGCGTGAAGTGTCCATCATTACACACTTCACTTTGGCAGCTGAATGAGTGCATCATCCGGGTAATTAAAGTGCACTTAATGTTTTTAGAGTTTTCAGTGTGAACACACTACTTACACTATTTATACTACAAAATGGCATAGAATAGTGCATCAGTATGCGATTTGGGACGCAGCTATACACACACACTAGGAAGCACTTGACTAGACACATGACAAGGTTGACCAATAGAAACATGACACACAAACACTAGAGATCACATGGCAGGAAAACAGAACAAAATAAAGTGCAGGACAATAAACTTACAATCATGTAGATAAACAGTACAGTGACAGACAAGACGCCTCGGCCGATGGCTTCCCTCAAAGTCACACTCTCGTCAGTCTTGAGTATTAAACAGAGGTAATTGACTGATGCTTTTAGATGCTCCTATGCTTGCTCATTCTAAAGCGCAGGTGTCAAATCCAGTTCCTGGAAGGCCGCAGCTCTACATAGTTTAGCTTTACCGCTAATTAAACACACCTGATCAAACTAATTAAGTGCTTCATGTTTGTTTGATACCTGCAGGTAAGTGTGTTTAATTAGGGTTGAAACTGAACTGAGCAGGGCTGCGGCCCTCCAGGAACTGGATTTTACACCTGCTCTAAAGTATCATTCTAAAGTAGACAGTGTCATGTCTAATCAGAGGTCACGGCCATTCTTATAAATGTAACCGACTACTGTTCTCTAAAATGATTTCAGTTTAGCCAAGCTCATGGCTTCCTATGTACACTTAATTTAGAACAACATTACTTTCAAACAAGGCTCATGCACCCTATCCTGTCTGTTGCCCGGGATGGAATTAACCCCTTTTCCATCTACGTACACCTGAATCAATATCAAGAGTCAGTCAGATCTCTAAAATACAGTTAGTGTGCCCAATGCTCCATCACAACTGGTCTTCAGTCTGTCTACTGACCTGATGCAGGGAACGTGGAAACAAGGATACAGCGTAATCTACTATTACAATGTATTAATCAGGTAAATTTGCATTATGCTAATTATTCAGTCGATTCATAAACAATCAATACAAGACATCAAATTCTCAAAGATAGATCTAAAATCAAAAGGTGCATACCTGGAGCATGAGAGCTCCACACTACTGGCTGATCTGGTTACAGCATCACCCCGAACCTCTTGACACTTTCCCTTAAATAGTCAAACCACGGATCTCCTTCAAGAAGGGGTGTGTGTGGAACAACAAAAGACATCAGGATTTAGTGGCATGTTATATCTGAAGAGTTACTACATATAGGCAACATATGGTCATTTGAACATATCCCCCAAGGTCAGGGATGTCCAAAGTCAGCCCTGGAGGGTTGGTGTTCTGCTGACTTTAGCTCCAACTTGCTTCAACACACCTGCCTGGAAGTTTCTAGTATACCTAGCAAGAACTTGATTAGCTGATTCAGGTGTGTTTGATGAGGGTTGGAGCTAAACTCTCCAGGACACTGGCCCTCCAGGACCGAGTGTGGACACCCCTGCCCTAGGTAAAGGGGACAGTAGTTCAAAAGATACCTGAAGTTATACATCTATTGTTTTGATTATGTCTATTTCTGAGGGAATGAGACCATTGTACCTGTCGCATTTTTGTACCAGAGACATTTCAAATGATATCAAATATGATAAAGTCACTTGGATTGATTTAGAACATTAAGACTTCAAGATGACCATTCTGTGTGAGATGAATTAAGAGAGGGTGAGTGAACAGAAGGGAGTGCGGGAGATACTCCAAATGTAAATGATGGAGATGAGTGAACTTTCCTACATTCCCACCTGGTCGGGTGTAGACACAATTGTCTCTGTGTTTCCTGCCCATGCTTGTATTGTGAAAGACATCAAAGTATCTGTGGTATCTCAAGTCTTACAGTCCACACACCGGGATTGACGCGGCTTCTTTAATAGTTGTACTGGTGATGATTTACAGCGATTTTCTGTCTTTATTCCAAACATGCAGTAATTTATAAACGTGTTAAACTGGTAAAACTCATTCTCGAGCTCCAGATGATCACAGAGCACTGAACAGATCTTTTAATCCCAGTTGCTTTGTGCAGCTCCTGTCTTGCTGATATGATTATGTGCATTACTATGGAGGCATGTTAGTACCCGACTGTCAATAAATTCTGTGGGTGAGGAAACTGCACTCCTACGTCATGTTGCGGTGGACCACAGAACGGGAGGGATTTGGGTCCTATTTTAACATCAGGAATTTTTTTAAAAAAGTGACTTATTGTGTTTCTATCACATCAATATGACTGGAGAAACAATGAATAATATTGCTAATATTCATATTCATGCTTAGGAAATCACACAACTATATTTTTCGCTTTTCAGTTTTTCAACTTCTTGTTGTAGTTTTTTTATGTCGTCCTCTTTCTCTTGTTGGAGGTGTTTATATTCTTGTTTCAGTGATTCCTGTTCTTTCTCCTGTTCTTTAAGCTTGAGTTCATACTCCAGAATTTGCTTCAGTTTTTTTTCTGTCAACTCAATCTCTTCTGCTTGTTTTCTGGCTTTGTCTTCATATTTCTTCTTCATCTCTTTCATTTCCACTTCAGATGCTTTGTCCACTTTTTCTCTCTCTTTCTCTTCCATGTGTTTTCTCTCCTTCTGCTCCTCTGCTTCTCTTCTCCTGATCTCCTCTTCTTGCTCTCGTTTCAGATCTTCAATCATTTTCTTCCATCTCTTTCTCTCTTTATCTCGTCTCTCTTCATCTTCTTGTTTTTCTCTCTCCCACTCCTCTTTTCTCTCTCTCTCCAGTCGTTCATAATGTCTCTTTGTCTCCTGTCTCTTTTCCTCATATTCTCTCTCCTTTTCTTCTTTTTCTCTTCTCTGTTTCTGCCTCTCCTCCTCCATCTTCTGTCGTTCTTCTTCTCTTTCTCTTTCAAATCTCTTTCTCATTTTCTCCAGTTCTTCTTGTTTTTCTCTCAGTTGTTCTTCGTGTTTCTCTTTTATTTTTCTTTCTTCTTCCTCTCGTTCTCGCAACCTTCTCTTCATCTCATCCTCCCATTCTCTCTGCTGTCGTTTAATTTCCTCTAGAATCTCTTTTCTCTCATTTTCAGCTTCTTTTATTTTTCTTTTCCATCTCTGTCTTTCCTCCTCTTCTTCTTCATTTCTTCTTTTCTTCTCCAAACCCCTCAGTTTTGTTTCTTCTTCATGTCTCATCTTTAATTCTTCTATAATTCTCTCTTGTTCATTTCTCATCTTGTCTTTGTCTTGTCTGTATTTCTCTTCTCTCTTTCTGTCTTCTTCTTCTCTTTCTTTCTGCTGTTGTTCATACTGTGATCTCTGATTATCAATCTCTCTCTTCATTTCTTCTATTCTCTGATCATATTCAGCTCTTTGCTGTTTTTCCTCTTCTAACCGTTTCTGGTTTTCAATCTCTCTTTTCTTCTGATCTGTTTTCTCCTTCTCTTCAAACTCTTTTCTTAGTTTTTCTTCTTTTAGCTTCAGTTGATTCTCCATTTTCCTCTTCTCTTCTTCTGCTCTTTGTTTCTCTTCCTCGAGTCTCTTCATCATGTCCTTCATCTCCATCTCATATTTGTCTTGTAACTCTTCTTTCTGTTGCTGAATCTCTCTTTCTCTCTCTTTCATGATTTCCTCCATCTTCTTCTTAATGGACATCTCTGCCTCCTCAAACATGTCATTAGTGAAGTATCCACCCTGATTATTATTTCTCACCTCTTGGATCATGTCTAACAGCTTCATCACTTGAGTTTTGTCTAGTTTTTCTCTGTTATTGAAAGCCAGGAATCTGTTTCCACAATCTCTGATCAGTTTCTGGAGTTCTGCAGATTTGCTTCTCTTCATGTAATCCTCTATAGATTGATATTTGAGATTGTCTCCTCTGGTGAACAGAACAATGCTGAACTGAGCAGCTTTTGGACCAAAGATCTTCTTAATCAGGTCTATAGTTTCTGTCTCCTCTTTGGTAAACTTTCCCAAAGTCAACACAATGACAAACACATGAGGTCCAGGAGCTGATAGCGAAACACATTTCATTATTTCTTCCACCACTTGATCATTTGTCAGTGTTGTGTCGAAGAGTCCTGGAGTATCAACAACAGCTACTGATTGACCATCAACTTCTCCAACTCCTTTCTTGCAGACATTCATCACTGAATCTGTGTTTAATTGGCTGGGAAACTCTTCTCTTCCTAGAATAGTGTTTCCGGTTGTACTTTTTCCACTTCCTGTTCTCCCGATCAGCACAATCCTCAGACACTCGAGATAAACTGTGTGAAGAAAACATTAATTAATCAAAACATTTATTTTACTTGTTTGAACATTCATATTTTTAAATACAATTAATACCAACATTTTAGTAAGAGTTAGATCACTTAGATCAGGCGTGTCCAAAGTCGGTGCTGGAGGGCCGGTATCTTGCTGATCTTAGCTCCAACTTGCTTCAACACACATGCCTGGAAGTTTCTAGTATACCTAGCAAGATTAGCTTGATTAGCTTATTCAGGTTTGTTCGGTTAGGGTTGGAGCTAAAATCTCCAGGACACCAGCCCTCCAGAACTGAGTGTGGACACTCCTGACCGAGACGTAACGCCACTCCAGCAGAGGGAGCTCTCGCCCGACTACTGACTCAGCTCTGCTCCCTCTGCCCTTACTTCCTGTTTGTGCTGTATTTCAGTGAGAACTCAGGTCATGTTACTTTGCGAAATATTGCCAGTTTACCTGCCTTACCAAGCATTGTTCCAAGTGACTCACATGACTGCTAACCTGTGTATGACCCTGTTTGTCCTGATCAAGTACGTTCTTTGTCTTTTCCCTTTTTATCTGCGTTGGACTGTTTGTTACTGCCTTGATTGTTTGCCTGCTTTATAACCAAATCGTCTGAATTAGCCCTTGTGTATGTCGAATGGTTTGGACTACTTACATGTTGCCAACTCTCTGCCTGTTTACATGTTGATGTGTCTGCACTAAATATCTGCATATGGATTCTCACACTGTCTCTGTATCCTCGTTACAGAATACTTTGCCTATCATGAATCCAGCGGAGGACTCAAACCTGCAAGCTACAGTCGCATACCAGGGTGAAGTTTTAAAGGGCTGTCAACAGCAAATGATGCAGCTGTAGTTGATAGACAAGCATCTGATGCACTTCATTGTCTCCAACCATGGCAAAGATGGTAAGTTTTGCTATTTCTGAGAAGTTTAAGGGCACCGCTGAACAATATAAAGGCTTTCATTATGAAGTAAAAATTTATATGGAGCACCAGGAAGAGAAATTTGAGTCTGAATAGAAAATGTGCATTTCTGATGACACTATTGACTGGGAGAGCTATTGACTGGGCTGCAGCAGTTTAGGATTAGGACACTTGGATCAAAACTTTATTGGAGTATTCCATGAAACAGATCCATTGTTGAATACCAAGCTGGGGGAAAAGGAGTTTCCACCCAATAATTAAATCTCATGCAAGGAAACAGAATTGCTGCTGATTATGCAATTGAGTTTAGAAAGATGGAAGAGTGGATGGAATGATGTGGCTTTAAAAGCTATGCTTCTTCGCAGTCTGAATGTGGATCTTCAAATGGAGCTGGCTTGTAAAGGCGATGAGTTGTCTTTCCCTGAATTTGTCAAGTTAACCATTAAATTAGCCAACCTCATGAGACAAGCATTCCAACGTCAAAATAGCAGTCAATTTATGCATTCAGTTGAATTTTCAAGTCAAGAAAATTCTGTGCTACTGAACACTTCATGTTTGTCCGAAGAAGAGAGAAGGACGATGCCACTTCAAGCTATGTTTTTACTGTGGCGAAGCAGGTCATCAAAGTTTTGAATGCCCACAGAAAACATGCAATCCAGCCGGTGTAAATATTGGGCACTTCTCCCTACTCAGTAATAAATCATTCACATTACCATTCACCCTTCAAATTAATGCTGTCTGTTTTTAGTTAATAGCGATGATTGATTCAGAAGCTGCATTAAATATTATAAGTAAACATTTGATTGACAAATATGATAACCCCACTCAAGCTTGCATTCCACCTATCAAAATCAAGTCCACTGATGATACTTTTATTGGAAGCAGAATTACTCGTCATACACAAACTCTCACTCTTTACGTAGGAGCTCTGCACCAAGAATCCATTACCTTCTATGTTGTTGATTCCTCCAAGTATGAAGTAGTCCTGGGACATCCTTGGCTGTATTTCCATGATCAAAAAATTTCATGGCACTCTAAAGAATTGACTCAGTGGTCCCCATTCTGTCTAGAGAGGTGTATCTAGATAAAACCCCATCCATGTCTGACAACTAGCATTGAGAGTCCAAAGACGCATAAAGTGGTGGTCATACTCAAGTGTTAAAGAGACTTATCAGAAGTGTTCAGCAAGGCTAAAGCTATTCAACTTCCTCTACACCGACCCTGAGACTGCCTAATTGATTTGCTTCCTATTGCTATACCACCCAAGAATCAGGTTTACCCTCTCTCTCACATACACAAAAAGCAAATGGATGAGTGGATGATTCAGGTCTAATCCATCTACATCACAAGCTGCAGCAGGGTTCTTCTTTGTGGAAAAGAATGCATTGATTACAGTGGTCTGAATAATATCCCTGTAAATTATCCTCTCCCATTAGCCCCCTTTGCCTTAGAACAACTACGTGAAGTCACTATCTACATCAAGCTTGAACTTTGAAGTGCATACAATTTGATAAGAATTTGTGAGGGAGACAAATGGAAAACTGCATTTTCATCACCAGGGCGCACTTTGAATATTAGGCCATGCATATGGACTGGCAAATGCTCCAGCAGTCTTTTAATCCTTCATCAATGAGATTTTCAAGGATCTGATTAACAAGTACGTGGTCTCCTACATTTTTAATCATGACAGGGTCGTGCTTTCAAGATTACAGGACGACCAATTGTATGTCAAAGCAGAAAAGTGTGAATTCCATGTTAAACAGAACTCATTCTTAGGCTACCACATCAGTAACAATGAAGTACAAATGGATGAACTCAAGGTCCAAGCAGTCACGGAATGGCCAGTTCCCACCACAGTCAAAGAACTTCAGAGATACATGGGGTTCGCAAACTTCTACAGGAGGTTCATGCGAAATTACAGTTTGGTAGCTTCTCCCATAACTTCACTACTGAGAGAAAAACCTAAGAAATTGTAATGGACTGATGAAGCTAACCAGGCATTCATTAAGTTAAATGAAAGATTTACCACAGCCCCCATTGTCAGGGAACACAGGCGGACACAAGTGCAGGTTAAGAGTTTTTATTCTTGATCAAAAAATTACCCTAAAAGGGTGCAAATCAAATCCAACTGGGCGTTTGCAGAAAAAATAGGAGAAAAACAAAAACAAAAAAACTGCATAAAAAAAAACTCCCAGAAGAGGGCGCTGTTAAGTCCTTGACAACAGAGACCGGGTCCTGTCAACAAATAAATCCAAAAGGGGGCGCCCAGTTCACAATCTTCAAAAAAGAGAAAGCAAAAGACAGCCGGGGTGATCCAAAAATAAATGCAAACAATAGCGTCTATGATACTGTTACCCGGCAGGGGGCGTGCTGGTACGTTGCCGTGAGGGGAATGCGGAAGTGGAGCGTGAGCGAGGGAGAGGAAGCCGGCAGTCAGTTGAAGCCGATGGGCTCAGAGAGGTTGAAGCAGTCCGGCCTGGGAACAGAGGAGGTTAAGGAGAGGCAAAGTGCAAGAAGATGGTTCTGGCGTGGAGCAGCACAACAAGACAGAGTTGGAAAGGACAGGAGAGCCACGACAGGAGACAAGACGAGACCAGACGCGAGCGGCTCGGCGTGGGCGCGCTCGCAAAACAACAATCTAGCACTGGACTACACACAAGGAGGGGAATAAATAGGACACGAGAGGAATCACTGATAGGGTGCAGGTGAGTGAAAATCAATCTTAATAGATGGTAAATAGGGTAACGAGAGGGAGGAGAGATACGGGGGAGTGATCAAAATAAACATTCACGTGCGCTCACCAGAAGTAAACAGAAATGGGGAACAGACAGCATGATCAGACTGAGGATGTGACAGTACCCCCCCCTCTACGAACGCCACCAGGCGCTGCATGGGGGGGCCTACCTTGCCGTTGACGGAAATCCTCGTCCAGCGCCGGATCCAGAACGTCCCGAGCCGGGACCCAGCTTCTCTCCTCCGGACCATAACCCTCCCAGTCCACTAAATATTGAAAGCCCCGACCTCTGCGTCTGATGTCTAGCAATCTCCGCACAGTGTAAACTGGGGAGCCATCCACTAGACGGGGGGGAGGGGGAATGGGGGCAGAGGGAACAAGACGTGAATACAATACAGGTTTAACCCTTGACACATGAAAGGTAGGGTGCACCCGACCAAGCATAGGAGGGAGCTTGAGCCGTATCGCCACCGGACTCAGGACCTTGGTGATCCGGTATGGGCCAATGAACCTGAGAGCCAACTTGCGTGAGGCTACCCTGAGAGGCAGGTCCTTGGTAGAAAGCCACACTCTTTGACCACATCTGTAACGAGGAGCGGGAGTCCGGTGGTGATCAGCTGCTGCTTTGGTCCGTTTATTAGCCTGGGCCAAGGCCTCCCTGGCTCTCTTCCAGGTGCGTCGACACCGCTGGACGAAAGCAAGGGCAGACGGAACTGCAGCTTCGGGTTCCTGAGAGGGAAACAAAGGAGGTTGGAACCCCATAGAGCATTGAAACGGGGACATACCTGTGGCAGATGAAGGAAGAGAATTATGGGCATACTCGACCCAAGGTAATTGTTGACACCAAGAGCCAGGATTGTGGGACGTCAGGCAGCAGAGAGTACGTTCCAAATCCTGGTTTGCCCGCTCGGACTGCCCATTGGTCTGGGGATGAAATCCTGAAGACAGATTCGTAGAGGCCCCGATCTGTCGACAGAATTCCTTCCAAAACCGGGAGACAAACTGAGGGCCCCTATCAGAAACCACATTGACCGGAAGACCATGAATCCGGAAAACATGATCAATCACCACTTGAGCAGTCTCCTTGGCTGAGGGGAGATTGGGAAGGGGAATGAAATGGGCCGCTTTGGAGAAGCGGTCCACCACCGTGAGAATGACGGTGTTGCCTTTAGATTCTGGTAGGCCGGTGACAAAATCAAGGGCCAAGTGTGACCAGGGGCGGGATGGGATGGGAAGGGGGCGGAGCAGACCAATGGGAGGCGCATTGGAATTCTTGTTCCGAGCGCAAACAGAGCAGGCGGCCACGAACTGCCTGACGTCCTTGGCCATGGATGGCCACCAG